ACTAGGTGTTCTAATGTGCACCTGGGATTTGAGCCGCAGCTCCGGGATCTTGACCTTCCGGCCTTTTACTTTCTCAAAGCGCCCTAAGGCTTTGGCCTCCCGGCCTTTGTATGGCGATTCCTCACGTCCCATCGACCGCTCACCTGGCGATGGGCTCTTTCGCTTTGGCCGCTGTCTACTGGCAACCTTCCAGTCGCCCTCGGCTTCTGGAATGGTTGGCATGGGTAGTTCCGATGGGCTTGGGGCCCTCACGACCTTTGCCGCCTGTTGGGCGCTTCTCTCTTCTGCCTCCTGGGCCCGCTGCTTTTGCTTCAGGAGGCGGTCGCTCAACGGCTTGACTTGGTCTTCGGCGGAGGTTTTGGCTTCTTGTGCCTCGCGGCTTTGCTGCTTCGCCTTCTTCATGGCCACCTCCTTTTCCCGAGCTTCTTTCTTGGCCTTGTTGACGGCGATTTCTAGCGAGGCAATTCTCTCCGCGGTGTCTTCGTCCCGCTTCTCCCTCGCCTTCTTGGCAGCAGCATCCGCCACTTGTTCCAAGAGCTCCATGATACCAGGGGTCTGCAGCAGCGCCGCCATGGTCCCCTGATCTTGCTCTTGTTTCTTCTCTGCCGCCGGTGGGGCACTCACTTCCCCCATCGGTTCATCTTCCTCTGCGGGTGGCGGAGTGGCTGTGGAGGGTCCAGCTGTGTCCTCCCGGACTGTTTCACCTCCTTGCCCATCCCGGGCTTTAACTTCACCAACCGAAGTCGGTGTCCCCTCCCGGGGTGTGTCCATATCTCCCGACGTGTCGGGGGTACCCTTGCGGGCAGAACTGTCTAATTCCTCGGCCTCCATGGTGGAGGCCGGGGAGGGAGCCCGTTGCTCCGTGCTTGCGCGCCCGCCCAGGCGGAAGCGTGGTAGCCACCCTCAGGTGGCTCCGAAACCAAATGATATGAAAAGACCGTGGGTGTGGGGTTCCTGCCCTCTTTGAGCCGCGGACCCGCCTCGCCGGGCACCTAGGTCCTTATGGGGACCTAGGCGGGACCACCCCTCCTACTCCCATATCCTAATACTTAAAGTGGTTTCCCTGGGTTGAGGATAGTGTTCTTGGGTAGGGCGTCCCCCACACCAAGGGCCAGTAGTAGGGCGTCCCCCACGTCAGGCCGGTGTGCGTAACACCCTGGCCCTGGCCGATGTCCTGACGTCAGTTGTGTTGACCCCGTGCGCTCGTACGCCTCGCGCGCCTGCTTCTGCAGCTGATAGCGTAAGGCCTCCTCTCCATGATCCCGCTGGTGATGCAGCCACTGCGCGTCCTCAGCACTGAACGGCAGGATGACGGTGAGCCCGAAGCTCCAGTACCCTTCCGGGCAGTCCGCCTTCTCGAGATACCATCTCGAGAGCCAGAGGTCGCCGAAGGCGAGCCACTGGGCGATCAGAAAGCGCCAGCTTTCGACCTGGCAGAATCGCGCTGCTGTCATGGCTGCCGGGAAACCGCCAACCAGCTGCTGGGCAGTGGGACTGGGAGGCGGGGCTCGCTGTGCAGGATGGTCAGAATGCAGGGGAGCGCTGCTGTGCGCTTTTGCCGTTTTGGAGGTCTTGGACGGTGTTTGGATGTCGGACTGGTCATTTGATGGCTTGAGGGTGTGTGAGAGGATGTCGTTATCCCATGCTGGGCGTCAAAGTCGGACGGAACCTTGCATGCTGATGCGTAGTTGGTCATGTAGTGTAGTAACACTGGACATTGGAGCTGGTTCTGGAACTGTGATCGCTGAGCGGCTTGATCTTGCACAGTTCTGGTTGGATTGTAGCCTTTTGATTGCTCCTCATGGTGCCGCTATGTTCGGATGTAAGATGCTCTTGATGATGTAGCTAATGGTGGTCAGTCGATGCTGCTGGAAATGTTGCCGGTAGATGCTGGGAAGATGAAGTTGATGGAGACATTTGCCATGTCATTTATGGCCTGGAAATGGCCAACTTTAACAGTGTCCCAAGTAAGGAAGGGGTCTTCACGGAAGAGAACGGAGCGACTAATTTCATGCCTCTCTGGGTCTGCGGTTCGCTGATTGGTGCGAGACCGGAAATGGACAGCTCGTAGGAGGCATCTGGCCACCGAAGGACACGATCTGCAAATGGAAAGAGGGGCAGGAGAAAAATGTTCCACACTGCAGGAGGCAGCAGGCGGTGGGACGGAAGGGGGACGGTTGATGCTGGGAGAAGTTGACCAGAAGAATGCTCTAAAAAGGGCTGGTGACCCGTTCAATGGCCGTAGGCCACGGGATGCCCAGTTCCTCGCACACGAAGACAGATAATCCTTGCCGGCAGCGTTGTTGTACTTCAAGAGTTACTCATCCTCGAGAGAACATCCCCGAGTGCCATCCTGAACAGCTGAAAACGGCAATGTCGTGACGAAAAACCCAATATCTGTGGTATATATATGGTGTAAAGATCCGTGGTCCATTTTGCCCATAGACGCCTCAGGAGGGCGCAGTAAAAGTCTTCAAAAAGATTTGCCCGTTCCCTCATCCAGAACGATGGAAGAACACGACAAAAAGCAGCAAAAGCGAGCCCCTTTTCGCACGCTGCTGGCGATTCAGCCGCCAAAATCCGGGCACAAACACCCCATGGGCTTGGTACATTTATGCGCATGTAAAGCAATGGGTCTGCAAAAGAGTGCGGACAGAAGCGGCAACAGAAACCGCAGCGATTCACGTCGATTCACCCAGAAATCCATGCAGCTCGAGCGGCGAAGCTGCCGTGGGTGTGCTGCACCCAAATCCGAGCGTTTGGGACCGAAAACCAAGTTTATCTTATTTACCTTATCTATTTAATATTTTACCAAGTTATTTATTGGGACCTGAAGCCAAACGGGTCGGGATACACGCCTCGACCTGTATGCAAAGGCCACACACTCGGAGAACACCAACAGGCGCTTACAGCTTCACTAAACTCTTGTTCGTCCTGTTGCGTCCCCTCAGAAACGGGCAGCACGACCTTGTAGCGTCGCACGTGTCGTGGCGGCCACCCAAAATATCCCCTCGAAACCTCGCTCATATCAGCACATCAAATCTGCACTCATCCACAAAAAGTATTATATCCTTGAAGTTCACATCAGATTCCCTACCAGCCTGTCCCTGAACAGTATCCCCTTTTTGAAAAGCTATTACCAGCCGCTCATCCAATCCTCATGCAAAAGATTGCATCACCTTTTGAGAACACGCAACCCAAGTTGTAGGAAAAAAGCCACTTCAACGCTCTACCCTTTGGCACATCAGGTCCAATTCAAAAGCTACCGCTATTCACACGGCTGCCATCATTGCGGTTCGAGCGATATGATGTGACTCAACCAGTGCATCCACGACCTTTCTGTCTATGTCAGTGCATGGCAGTACAAATACCACTTCCGATGTTCGTTCACAGGCCACGTCGCCATTCAGGATGTACGGTGCCACTAGAACACAACATGAAAACCATCAGACGTTAAGTAAAAAAGCCTCGACATCACACATCCATGCAGCCCATCCTGAATCGTTTTCACATAATTTTGACTTTGGAGCCCATGCCGATTCAGACAGCCCTCCTAACGGCAGTCGTCGGGGAGTCACGCATGCAGCATGTCAGCGTCTTGACTCCTGTTCTGGTCAATGAGCATGGGCCTCATATCTTGAGTCACAGTTGAATTCTGGATTCAAGGCGCTTATGTAGTATCCTTCTGCTTGTATCTTTGTCAGCAGCATGTTTGCCATCATTCTCAGCCTTTGATCATATCTTCGCATCGCCTATCCGCTGAACTTTTCCCTGAATTCGGAAGAACATTTGGCGCCAGCTCATGTGGTGATCATTATATTCCAATTTTTCAGCCCTATTTTTTAAGCTATAGTTGGTGACCCAAACAATGGACAATCCGTTTCACTGTCTTGTCTCGAGTGTGGCCAATGAATCACTGCATCTGCACGGGTATTGACAGCTGTGATTCCATCAACGCTGTTCAGCAATGTTTATTCATGTTTTGCTAAAAAAATGCGTGCGGTGTGCAGTGAGCCCTGAGCATGGAATTGCGCCGTGCTTGCCTGACGTCACCGAAATGTCCGTGACACAAACGGCTAGTTGAGCTCCAATGTCAAGCACGGAACTCCATCCACCTGCGCTCAGCCGGCCACGCGCCCGCCCTGTGGGCATTTAGCTCTCGCATTCCCCGGCCTCTCAACTCGAGTGTGTTGGCGCCGAGATGCGAAGCTTGTTCATGGCTTTGATGGGCGGATTTCGGGGAAAGGAGTTCCTGGCGAGGGCAATGGGAATTGGACACACCATGCTGGAGTCAGACCAGACAGGAATAGTAATCTGTCATAGAGTATATATGTGGTGCTGCCGTGTAAGGAACATCCCTCGTTACGGACTCAAAGGCCGACTCTCCTTCCCCCGTATCCCCATGAGGGCGATCGCTCCACGAAAGGGCGCCCAACCGTGATGGGGCCCAACCCCGCGAGGCCAGCCGTTGGCGCAGCCGCAGGTCATGATCCCGGGGGCAGCACTGCGGTGCTTGCTTAATAAGTGTCTTGATGATCTGCTCCACATTTTTTTTAATTTTCGTTGCCTGTGGTAATCAAAGGGCGCCATATCCCGCATGGGATCTTATTCGGACGCGCTGGTGTCTGGATCAGTTGCGCTTCTTGCTGGATGTCGTGAGCTCAAATGGACAGCTCGAGGCAGAAGGCACAGTCCCGATCTCAAGTAGAGTAATCGTCCACGCGGCAATCGCATACGCCGATGCACATATGGCAGTCCAAACTACAGGGGGGACAAAAACTCACACATGCCCGCTACGCGTGTACAACGTCAACCTGCATCAGGCGCTCCCACCCGCTCGTGAACGTCGCAGCCACCCCTCTCGCAAAGAATCAGATCAAAATTGCGAAGGCTCCCTGCCCTTTGCCCACCACCGAAACCCTTCCCTCCCCCTCACAAAGACAGGAAGGAAGAGCACCAAGGGCACCACACAACAGAGGCGGACAAATCAACAACAATCGTCATCTTCTGGCGCTCACGGCCCCGTAGGCCTTCCTTCCCCACAGGTCCTTGAGCACCTCGAACCGCGGGGGCCCCTCGTCCCCGCATCGCTCATACATCCCATCCAGCTCGTCGAGATCGTCCTCGCTGTCGCTATCCATGTCCACCGCCAGGCACTCGTCCAGCCGCTCCAGGGCGCTGGCGTCCGGCGCCTCGTACGAGACGCACAGCTCCACGGGGCACGGCTTGGACTGCCTGAGCTCGACGTCCAGCTGCTCCTGCACCGCGGGCGTGACGGCCTCCGGGGCAAAGTCGTCCGGCTGGTAGCGCTTCATGATGCAGCACATCGATCTGCGGTGTTGTGGCCACAAGGGAAGCTCAGCAAAGGGGGCGAAGATGCATAGAGGGAGGCGATCCATTACAACGCTATCCTTTACTGGCCTTCGCTGATGGGTAATGAGCGCAATGCAACATCCCTGACCTGCCCAGACACCCAACTGAATAATTGAGAAGGAAACTGCGCAGCAAGGGTGCCGCTGAGGGAGACAAACCTTCTCGTTAATTTCACAAGACGCGAAAAAAAATTGCACTCGCCCTCTCAAAGGGGTATTGGCAGGCAGTACTGAAGAAAGAAGCTGAAAGCAACGGAAGAGGTGATATGCATAGTACTAATCAACTTGCCCAACAACGTTTCCCAGTGACAAACAGCCAGTAGCAAAAAAAGTGCTCAGCTGGATGAGACATGACGTCAGCAACACACTGGGCGAGAATGCACATCGGCTCCTTGTGACAGCCTGCGTGCCACATGCCACCGCAAAGCCCTCGCGCCCAATTTGGCAGCGATGGGCAAAAGATGCCAAAGCAGGTCGTGTCCCCCTACATGGATGCAAACCCCACCCACGACGAATGAATGCCAACAGCACGATGACGACGGGCAGTAGAAAGTGGTGTCGGGAGGGGCAGAACAGCAGGCACGCAGGTAGGCAGGCAGAATTGGCGAGGTGCTGAACAAAATGGCAGAACGGTCAATGACTTATAAGAAATGTCAAACACAGAAAAACATCGGCAGTGGATTCGCAGGGCGTGCCTGAGAGACAGAGCAGAGAATATGTCGTCCCTGACGCCCTTGTCCGTGAGCAGCTCTTTGGGCATCATCAGGAGGTCGGCGGTGGCCGTCAAAAGCGGAAAAAACAAGTGGCTCGGCTCGCCCCCGACGTGGCTGCCACCCACATCAACCCTGAAAGCCCACTCGCTCCACCTGGCCACCAAACATGCAAGCACAGTTCTTCTTAAGATTTCGCTGCAGAAAAAGGGCGCAAGGCTCTGCCCAGGCCACAACGTGATGCTCCTGGCCCCATAGGCTTCCAAGTTTAGAGCATCGCTGGTGTGGCGGTGGAGCACTTTGCCGTCACTTGGCAAAGACAGACAATGTCTGACACTCACCCCCACAGCACAGCCACCCCAATGCCACCTGGGATCATTGCCCAATGGTTTGTCAAGTTCCTGGGTTCTGCAACCTGCCGTACACAGTTGACAATGACCATTGCATATTCTTGCACACTGCTCACCAAATGACCGAGCCCCATGCTGCCATTTGTATCAAATTCTGCACAATCCTTTAGGCAACCCCTCTTGCGGATTCTCCAGGAACGATTTTTGGGTGCTTCATGCATCATTTCACAATTGCTGAAAAAAAAACTGTGTGAGCCGCAACACACAGTTAACATTAACAAACAATGCACACGTGCCAGCAAGGGGACTATGGACATTTTTGTGCATCCTTGCAAGTGTTTCTAGAGGTGCTCCGCTGCAATTGGAGACCTGTGCCCCTCAGCCAGCTCAGCCAGCAAGACACAGCGGTTTGAACACACTTTTGCTCAGGAAGGGGCTCGTGTTGCTTGACCTTCTGCCCTCCTTATGATATGCAATGCACAAGGCAGGCCACCGGAATTATGCCAACAACCAATTTGAATGACAGTGCTTTGACGCATTTTGTTTTGGTCATTTTTTAACAATTGCAATCAAATGGTGCAAAAAAATAGCAGATGGACAGATAGAGGGCGACAGACAAATCTGCACACCTTGTCACTGCCATCTTCAGGTTCATGCCCACGCCGAATGTCAAGGGTCCTCGGCTGAATGGAAGCACTAAATCTTCAAGAAGTGGCCAGCCCTCCAGTCCTCCCCCCATCGTATCATCGATCACAGCAGTTCCCAAGGTTTCAGAGGGTGCCTGTGTGACGATGCCTGCCCCAAGCTCTCCTCCATCTTTGCAGAATGAAAGCAAGCTTTCAGCTTTGATTTCCAGCCCTTCCCACACTCTTTCCAGGTATAGCGCCACGTGTAACAATTCATATGCTGCCTGGTGTCAACAGGAGATGTGGATTCTCTTCTACCTTGGGATGCTGTCATTAGACATCGATCTATCCACAGGGCAGGCCATCTGCATTCTCTCGCAGTGGTTACCAACTTGTGGCAACTACAAGAGAATGGATTGTCACTCTTGTGCATGTAGCAGGGTACAAAGGCGCTGAACAACTCAGTTTCTCAAGTGGGATGCCCACAACCAGTTCAATTCACTTTGCAGGCCACACATGACAGCAACTTTCAAAGGCATCAGCACTGCTAGCAACAGGTCAACAGCTCTGCATACCCCAGAGGCCAGCTGCCCCCGCAGGCCACATTACAGGTCACAGCTATGTCAACACAAGATAGTGAGCTTCTTCTGCAGGTCGCATGTCACCTGACGGCTGAACCCATAGATAGAGTGGGCCACAGGCTAGTCATCCTGAGCAATGCAACAAACTCCGGGGAGAAGTGACGCAGGAAACAACACAACAGAAATAACAAATACGCAATAACACATAAGCAAAACAAAAGAATACAGAACACTGTACAACAGCAATGTGGGAGACCACCGAGCAATCCCCGTCGGGTGAATGCACAGCACCTTGCCCTGTTTTGTTCAGGATAATAAGGAGCAATTTGCACAAAAGAAGGCAATACAAGCGGCAGCAAAACAAACAGAACGAAAAGACCATGAGTTCCTGTGCTTTACCTGCCAGCATCTCCTGGAACAAGATCATGTCCATTCTCTTCATGCAGTTCCGCAGGACCTGGGTTTTCAATAGCGGCACATGGCCCTCCAGGCCCTTGCCAGAGGCGCACAACTGGAACTGCTCATCGACGGCGGCCAAGGCACCTAGCCACCTATGGACGGCAACGTCCTTCTCTGGACGCGGGCTGCCGGTGCTGCTGCACGAGGTCTGGTGACAAGCAGAGGCACACACAATCTCAACTGCTGCTTATGGCTTCCATGACAACACAGCAGGTAGGCGCGCTGTTGTTTTCCCAACTTTGCGATGTGCATCAGGCGGACTGTACTGGTCGTTGAGGGATGAGACGTGAGGTTGTAGATCTGTTTGGGGATCCACCAGCACAGGATGGACACAAAGCGTTTTCCAGATACTTTCCATATCGTGGGTACTCCCAGTACAACTACCAACAAAATGGGTGCAGCATAGTAACATTCAGAACTGCACTACCGAGTCTTGTACACACGTTGCCCTTTATATGTATCCCATTCAGATGGAGATTTTCAATTGACAACGCCACCACACACTCTCAAGTCACAGCTGGCCTTATTGGAAGAATGATATCTTGGCTTGATGAAAATATTGGAAGTTTTGTACCACAGGAAACAATACAACCCCATTCGATGGTGACCATCCTCATTGTCTGATGAACAGAAACAGCAGCAACATGCCACTGACATTGCATGGTGACTCTCTGCCCATTAGCAGTTATTGTTAAAACGCTAAAGAACAATTATTGTTGAACACTAGGTAGTGGAGCGATTCAGTGGCGAACTGGTGCCCCAGCATAGTCCTGGGGCACTATTTGGTACACATCAATGCCGTGACATGTGGATGCCACTCTCAAATTTAGCATTCTTGCTCATTCTAAGACCTCTCCACCAGATTCAAGGGTGCTGAACACTGCTCAAATGTGCAGTTTTCAGCTTCTGTGCTCAAAAGTGACATATGGCACGGTCGCCGTGCTGAGGCAGGCTGCAAGAGCAATCTGTCTACCCATCAAGCGCAGGCAATCAGCCTTCAATCCCACAAGGCCAGAGCAAGTACAGCCACACTCTGACCACAGCAGCTCACCAGTTCGCCACTGAATCGCTCCACTACCTAGTGTTCAACAATAATTGTTCTTTAGCGTTTTAACAATAACTGCTAATGGGCAGAGAGTCACCATGCAATGTCAGTGGCATGACAGCTGCAATCCATGTGGATTTCATTCCAGTCTGAACAGCCACAGCAAAAAGAAGATGGAAAGGGAACCTGGACAATCGGAAAGGACGTGTGTGTGCGCACCGCAGTCGCCACCTCCCCTTTGCCAGCCGTTCCCACCACCTCCGACATCAACACCTTCCACCACAAGTATTGCTGCACGCGATCAAAGATGTCCTTCTCCAGCTCCGCCACTTGCGGGGCAAGGGCCTTCACTGCCCAGTGCACCTCCTTGGGCCCCGGAGGCCCTGCGCCAGCCTTTGTTGCAAGGTTGGGCAGCAGCAGGCGCAGCTGCACGCAGTTGGTCCACCAGAAAGCGGCTGTGCATGTGTTAGCGCCGGCACCATCCACCATGGCCTTGATCGCCCTGAGGGCATTCCTGCCCGCTGCAGCACCCTGTTCTGGGCCGAGGGCAGCCACGGTACGCGCTATTCGCCGGGCAGGGGCGTGCATGTTGCGAGGCTTGTCCCGATGGCGGCCTGCATTTGGAATGCACATGTACCAGTTCGACCGCATTCGCCTTTGCAAAGCAGTACCCTCCCAGGCTGCACATTAGCATGCATCCATGCATTGAAGTGCCAGCTTGTATCAGTGGCTGTGACATGTGCTGGTTGCACTTACAAAATACTGCAAAGCACAGCCAGCTTCACAAATAGTGGGCTACTGCGCGACATAACCAGAGTGGAGAGGGAGGACTGGCATTTCGCATTCAGGCAAACACACTCAGATGGACAAAATGCTGATCTGATGTATGTAGCTCAGATCAAATGCAATGCATGTCCTTGCTACCCAGCAATTTGCGTTTTGATCACCGAATCGTGGTGATGGTACTGTGAACTGGGGGTAAAGTGACAACCACCACCAATTGTGCACAAGCATGCACGTGCATTGTCTCCATTAACCGCACTCCACTACCACATTCACAACTTCACCATGGCTAATAGCCACCCAGAGCACAGGCAACACCTTGCATGAGCGAAACAAGATGGTGCCTGTTATTGCATATGTGCAGATATGGGCAGACATGCAGTCCTTGTCAAAGAACACAATCTTCAGCATAAATGTGCACTTAGAAGTGCTGGATATCGAGCCCAACCGGATGCGCAATGTTGCACACAGCCTAGCACACACCATCCAAGCCTTACAGATTCGAAGTAACCTCTTGTAAGATCACATGTCATGTTCAGTTTCATGATTGGAAATCCACAGCAAGGCGTTTTCTGGCTGCCTGTCGATGCACATTGCACTGGAGCTCCCCAAAAGCCTTGCCAGGATTATGCAAGAGTTTCGCAGCAACACGCAATATCCCCACAGTTCAATAAAGATTTCTTTGCTTTGAATGTACAGTGCCCTTGCAGTCGAAGTCTGCCCTTGTCACATGCAGCACAACTGGGGCACACTTCACTGTGCAGAACTTCTGAGCTGCCAACATCAGGTCCAACGTTAAGCCCTTTGTCATATTACAAATGCCTACAATGTACTGCTGGGATAATGGAAAATGGTCACATGCACTGCCTGAAGAGGATTTGGTTGGAACAAATCTCAACAGCGACTGCAGACTCCCTGTGTAAGTTGTTCGCAGCAATGATCGATACCTGACCGTGCCAAGTACACAGACGCTTCAAGGAAGGCAGCAGTGCGCAGTTGATGTAGTCCTGCATAGTCCCTTGTTGCCACAGAGCCCTTTTCCCTTGATGCACAAATGAAATGCACAAATTATCGACAAAGTCAAGCACAGGCCAAGCCACAGACGACAAGCCTGAAAACCTGCTGCAGAATGTTGGCCGTGAAATTGCTCTCTTGCATCGAAATGGTGCGAATGTCTGCGCTATAAAGTATCACAACCTTGTGGCAGAGAACATTGAGTGAGGATCCAAATCTTGTTGTTAAATGCAATGCCCACCTGTGTAATGGGATGCTCAAGTTGTCCTTTCTTGAAGCCCCTTCCACATCCTCAGTTTTCCCAAGGGTTGGGGACTTATGATCTTTACCCTCCTTGTCAAACACCCTTGTCCACCTCCGAGGAGCATGGCCTTGCTCCATTGCCTGGCTGGTGCTCGTCGAAGGCTCAACATGCAGTGGCAAAGATTTGCTCCCTGACCGTGGCTCTTCACCATGTGTGTCCTCACCAGAAGTTTCAGGAAGCCCATGGCCTTGCTGCAAGCCGCCCTTCTCAGGGAGGTCAGACCGGACACCATGGTGCTCACCCCTGGGACTGTGGGAAGTCGAGTCAACAAACGGATTGGCACCTGATTCAGTGTGCCTGATGGGCAAACCCTTCGGAGCACTCTGCTGGGATGTTATCGGATCTGCAGAGGTCTGGCCAGAGGCAACAGGCTCAGCTGTGGCCCCCTGAGAAGGGAGGCATTCTGCACCACCTGGTGTTGATACCACCGTCTCTGCTGTGCTTGGCCGTAACGGGACAGGTTTACCTGTGCTCTGAGGGGATTTCGCAGGCCCCATCCTGCCCTTTCTACCCTTCCCAAACCTCCCAGATAGTGACCCACTCTGAACAGAGGGCAACGAATCAACCCCACTATGAAAAGATGCTGGCGACCCGATGCTCTCCTGGGCCGGCAGGGAGCCAACCGGGCTTTGCCAGGAGTGCTCAGATTCAGGTTCAGACTGCCCAGATGGTTCAGGCTCCAATGCAGCATCTCCGCCTTGCCCATCCTTTGTACTTTCAGGCTCAACAGTACACACATCATCCTGAGCAACTGGCGATTCCATTGATCTTCTTCCAGACCCACCACCGCTAAATCCGCTCCCTGCGCTCTCATTTTCGGCCACTTTCCCTTCATCAGTCTCCTCATCACTGCTGCCCAGGGCGGCAAGGAGACTCTGGGCAGCATCCTTGACCTCCTGTTCTCTGGTCGTCATCTTGGGGGTCTTCACCCCCTGCTCACTCCCATCCATGGAGGCAAGCCATGAGCTGACGCGATCAGGCGGGGGAGGCGATGGGTGAGCCCCAGAGGCCGAATTCGCTGGTGGGTTGGGCTCACTGTCCAGGTCGCTATCCCTGAGAACGCCATCGGCATCATATTCGTTCGCAATGGCATCCGGGACTGCCCTTCCACCACCATCCTGGCTTTCGTCATGTGTTTCAGCGAGTGTCACGCCAAGGGACTGCCTGCTGGCTTGCCTGCAGGCCAAAGGTTGGGTCATCAGGACCACTGTGTAGTTGCCAACTGGCCAAACGAATGTGTTGCTCTGGACTGTGCTTTGGTTCAGTGTGCCATTGCCAGGTTAATCATGACGATTCATTCAAACTTGAAGCTGAAAATCAACAGTTGCTTATCTCGACTGACACAATAAGTACAAATACAAGCCATTCTTAAGGGGTCATGCCTTCACAGATTTGCCCTCACTACAGCAAGAATGCTGAGTACACAGAGTATGCATGCTAGAACCACAAACAGCTTCCAAACTTCAAGCTCAAGAAAGGAGCCCTTGACATGAGCACACTGCACTAAAGGTGGATCTGCCAGGAACCCAGATTGTGTACAGTGTACTCAAGCAAAGTCAACAGGACATTCCCTCACCTCAAATACTCTCTGTCACTCTCCCTGATGGTATTCAGGCGCGGAAAATCAATTGCAGGCGGATTGGGGCTTTCCGGGAGACCATCATGGGCCCCAACCTGGGGACTGTCTGGCTCCAAACCAGGCCTGTTTGCCAGGTGTTCGAATCCTCTTAAATCATCAGCTTGTTCGCCAGTCAGCCGACCTTGCTTCCTCTTTTCTTTCTTGTGCCAAAATGAACTTAAATTGGATGTCAGTGCACTCCCTGGAGGGCAGAAAGCCAAGTTCAGCACAAAGCAGTCATCGTCACCACAAAACAGACTGCTCATTCAGCACAACATGGCAATGTAGTAGGGACTGTTGTTCCCAATGCAACAGGCGTTAGCAATTGCTGAGGCAAAGCTACCCAGTGACAGCTGCAGCCAGAGTATTACTTGTTAAAGGAAAGCTGACATCAACAACACAAGCATAGAGTTGTCTCAAAAAACTCCATGTATTGGCTGCATCATATTGCTGGGCAAGAGGAATCCAACCACGATCCCAGATGGAAACGAGTTCCATGCGCAGCATGGTCTTCACTAACATAAATCCAAACTTTTTGGACCTTGACAAGCTGTCGATGCGAATGCATGACCACACACACCTGTTGTATCAGAGCTGTGCGAGCTGGCAGCGCTCCCAGGGCCAGAGGCGCCTTTCCACGTGCACCTGCAGTCGATAACAACTCAAGCGATGCCTCCAGGAAAGGAACCGTGTACACCACGCCACCTACCCACCCACAGTCAACCGCACACAGTGGACCTAGTGTCATCAGAGATTGCACAACGAACAATGCTGCCGATGTTGGTTGGCCAGGGTGGCCAACCATCCAGTATAACGTACTGCGCCGATTGTGCAGCTTCCCCAAGCAAGTGTGTTATCCCTCCCCACCTGAACCCCCTCCTATCAGCACAGGACACTCTCACAGTTCCCTTCATGCCTTCTTTATCCGGGATGCCACAACACCCATACTTGCATGAACGCCTACAGTTTTGTCCACTCTAAAGAATTGTTGCTGAAGATACAAACATCGCTTGCTGAAGTCTGAAGCCTTAAGCTTGAGCCCGTTCTATGTTGAAAGATGTCCTGGTAACTTGGGGACTGCCGCACGATCTACTGCTTCGAGTTACACAATACAGAAATGGCTCTCACTCCACCTGCAGCTTGGGATATGGATGCCCGCTGATTGACGTGTGTTTCATTCTGTACAAATACCCTTCGCCAGCCCCACAGCCCAGGCGCAAAAATTTGAGATTGCGCAAATCGCCATTGCAAAAGCGCTCTGTTCGACGCATTGATGGGCCAATGATGCCACGCGCTGCTTAAATTCATGCTGCACGCAGAATCCACGGAAAAGCAAGCTCCGTTCTGCGCAGCCAAGGCCACCTCCACGGCCCGCCCTGCCGTGCAGCCGCACCTCAGGCTCACGGACAGCTTCGGTGTGCCCACGGCCGACTGAATCGACTTGCTGCACGCGATGTCGAAGTCCCGCTTGACTTCGTTCAGCGGCGCAGCGTACTGCGCCAGGTCGATGACCACGCGGCCCAGCGACTTGGTCTCGCCCGAGCGCTCCGTCTCCAGGACCGCCAGGATGAGGGCCTTCTTCTTGAAGGGCCCAGCGGTGGAGGGTTTCCTGCCTCCATCCTGCGCAGCGAGACCCCACGCGCCCATCAGCCGTAGGACTCCAGCGGCGAGGTTACCCGAAAGAAAACCCACAGGCATTAATCCGTCGCCTTTCGGCCTCAACGAGCGGCCAAATTCGCAGCTGGACAGCACCGGGGATGGGAGGGGGCTTCCGATTGAGCGACCTGAATCTCCTTCGCGCGAATTCGGGCCGCGATCGGCTCGGTCGGATGCGCCTCAGAGCGCTAGGAAGGCGTCCCGGACTTGCCGCGACGTGTGCCGCCCGGTGCCGTCCGCCCCGCCCGCGGGAAGGCACCATTCTTAGATCGGCAGCCCGATCAAACTCGCCGTCCGATTTCTCGACTCCGAAATTCGCCGCCCCCGAACGCGGGAAGTTCCCCCCCACCCGCCCCCTGCCGGCATCCCCCGATTCTACGGGATCCCCGCACCTTCCCTGGGCCCCTATTCCCGCCCCCGACCCTGCCGCACCATGTACAGCGTCGCCGACAGCTGGAAGGCCTCCTCGAACTCCACCGCGCTGCCCAGCCTCCCTGACAGCGGTTGTGGCATCTTGGATGCCGTCGCACCGCGCTTGCTCTTCTTGGAGCCCCGCTGCCAGCCGATGGCCACCGCGCGGTCGACCGCGGGCCAGGGCGCCAGCGCGTGCACAGTCATGCTGAAATTGAACCGCACGGCCCCGGAGCGCTTCCTGAACTTGTTGAGCATTGCTGCGGGCAGGCGGGTGGAGGCCGCCCGCGCCGGGGGACACTGCGACTCGGTGACGCGCGTGTGGCGAGATGGCGAGAGGGGAGGGGAGGGAAGTTTTGGCGCGGCGCCGGTGGCGGACTGTTGGGAACGGTGTGTGATGATGTCACTTCATTCGGAGCGGGGTGATGGATGGGCGGCAGACGGGTGTGGTGTGGCGCCCACTGACCGACGTCTGCACCCCGATGTGAATGTGACCTGGGCAGTGCCCACATCCACATCCAGGACCCGATGTGAATGTGCAGGCCCTCGGGGTCATGTGGCGAAACCGATGTTTAGGCCGCAGGAAATGTGCTGTGACCTGTGCTCAGGCGCTGCGACAGTATGCGGCTGGGCGGCCCAACCCTGTGCGTGCTGATTGTTTGCACGGCGTGCTGTTTGAGTCGCCCTCTCTGACACCCGTGGAGGCCATTTGCGCATGGTCTGTGCTCGGCTGGACGTGTGCACGACACGGCTGGCGAAACCGCTGCCTGGGATGGCCCGAGTGTGCCACCATAGCAGTTGTAGGCACAAGCGGGAAATGCACAGTCAAAATAACACGGTTTTGGCCTTAGATGGACAATGTAGCCGCAAAACATGCAGAGCAGCTGCACCAACTGCTCAACACACAAAGATGCCGAATTAAAAATGAAAAGATAGTGCAAAAAGAAAACGGGTTGAGGTGCCATCAACTTCCCCATAAGACTGAAAGCTTGATACAAGGTGAAATACTGAAGTGTGGATAACGACAGCAGAAGAATTTTCATAGGTTTGCTCGCTCTTAACTTGGGGTGAAACACGATGGGCACCCATGAAACTGCTGAAAGCCAGAGTTTGCACACTATTAGGGCTTGATTTGACGGGACACCAATTCTAATCACATGTTGGTGCCATGCACCCGAAATGTGCCATACTCAAGTCCAGGATTTTGACAAGCATCACCAGCGGAAATTCCAAAGTTCTTACGGTCGTGCAGAACCTACTGACCATCTTCAAATGTTCTGTGGCGCACGAATAGCACGTGCACCTACGAAGACTCATTTCAAAAAGCAACTTAGTCCAGGTTTCCCCAGGAGGCATGTAGGCTATAATGGGAGCGGTGACTACGGTAATGTTGCAGAGAAACGCGATGCAAGAAGGATTGTCGAACAAAGAACAGGGCGTATGTGGCACATACGATCAAATGCGGCTGTATGTTTCTTCCAACGTGATTCCTTTTCACTCCTTCGGGGGCTCTGGAAGTATGCCTGTAGAAATACCAAGCGCATTACTCAACACGCTGGTGCTCGTGTCGTTGTAGCATCCTGTGCGAAGGGTGGCGTGTGTCTACAAATGTGGTGCTTATGTAGCGCGGCTGCGGTGCAGGCGCTTGCCTCAACCTTCCATCAATTTTCAGGCTTTTGGGCTGCTCTCATCGGCGATCATCGCTTTTGGCGTCCCATTTTTCAAATCACCGCAATTGCTACAATATTGGTTGTGTTTTTCCCTTCAAACTGCTTTGAAGTTGTGTGGCCTTGTTACGTAATGTTGCCGAGTCATCCTGGCATCGAAATAAGGTTTGGCGCTAAGGGGGGTGGGGGGGGGTAGTAACTTAGCATCAATTGAAGCTAAGCGTACCAAAATCCAAAAAGCATCTTTCCTAGTAATGATTCTTGCAATCTGTTTCGGACTGCAAATGAGCAAAAGGAACCCAGTTCTGATTCTGGGCGTTTGAAACGGGTATCTGTTCAAATGTGCGATTTGGCTGCCTCGTCTTCCTCGATTCGTTTTCATTCTGCTTGTCCCGACCGATGCCATCGCTATTCGCAGTGTGCAAGCTTTGTCGCCTGTTCTGCGATTGTCACGCCTCAGTGTGGTTGATATCACTATTTTAACACTCAGCTGTCGCCGAAGATTCGTAGTTGCTATACGTGGAGCTGGGCCTGAGCTGAGGACAGCGCTTCAAGCCTTGTGAAGGCTTCGCCTACCGTATGCCGTATGTGGTAGCGCTGCTGCGATCAAGACGATTCGTATTGGACACAGAACGAATTCGTTTGTGGTGGCGTCGTCGAGTTGTGCGGATTGGGCCGCCTGATTCGAAACTATAACGGATCGTTGTGGTTCTTCCACCGCTCCCCATGTTTACCGTTCAGCTTTTTTCAAAACTTTGCAAGAGAGTTTGATACGCTCTGTTCACCGTTGCAAGCTTGTTATTTTTACGCGCATTTGTGTGTAAGAGCTTTTAAAGTCTGCGCGCGTAAATAATTGTTTGAATGCAGAAATATGGGCCCTGTGTACATAAAGACAGTACAAAATGACTCTGAGGGTCCGGGGTTTGGCAGCCGAACGCTCGAATAAGCAAAACACGATTTTTTTGATTCGATGACATGGTTGCCCTTGCCGAGGGCGAGGTGGACACTAGGTTGCGGGTGCTTGAGGGGGCGGAGGACTGATCAATGCTTGGGGCATCATCATGTGACCTGGGTGTGTCGACGAGCCGTAAAAATGCGTAAATATGACCGTAAAAATAAGCGTGTCTCTGTTTGCGCATTTCTGGTGTAAGAACACAAAGCAAAAGTAAATACAAGTGGTGCCATAGACGTAAATAAACAATCCTGCACCATTGTACCAGCTGCTAGTCCTCATCTGACTCCTCTTGCACCCCTTTTTGCTTTGCGATACAGTAGGGGTCCCTATATAGCGCCCCTCCAATAGCGCCCCCGGCCCCCAATAGCGCCCCCTTTTTTGGCTTGTCACCATTTCTGTAGTACTTTATGCAGCTTTGTTGCGCAGTGGGACCTCAAACTAGTCTAGGTGCCCGGTTTAGTGACCCCTAGTCAGCGACCTATCTAAGTTTAGTGACCCCCTTTACGGCTCGTCACCGTTCCCGTAGTGCTTTGTTTCACTGCGACAGCCCCAGCGCCCGCGACTTCGGCGCCGCGACAGCCACTGGCCCCAAAAGCCGGTATGGGCCCAGTAGGCTGGGTGTAGCGTAGCCCCCACACTGGCGGTCAAGGTACCCTGTCACTGGCAGCTAGGGTACCCCCTACTGGTGGCCAGAGTACACCCTATATTGGCAGCCAGGGTACCCCCTACACCGGCGGCTATGATACCCCCTACACTGGCGGCCATGATACCCCCTACACCGGCAGTTTAGGGTACTCCCTACATTGGCGGCCATGGTACCCTTTACACCGGTTGCTTAGGGCATCCCCTTGACACAATAGGGCCCCCGGCCCCCAATAGCGCCCCCCTTTTGGCCATGTCACCGGGGGGGCGCTGTATAGGGACTCCTACTGTACAAGCATTTATAATTTGCAACTCCGAAAATTGTTAGAATTACCTAGCAATTTAAGGAATTACCTGGCATGATGAGTCAGAAATGCTTCATAATATGCTTTGATGGCACTCCGGTATCCACAAAGCCTACCTTGTGGCACAAGCAAGCCGTCATGGCAGTCCTAAAATGGGAAATGCATGATGCGGCGATAACACAGTGTCGTGGCGATCGTTCTGTAGGTCACCCCAGAGGCGAGTTTGTGAGCATGTCACTCTTTCACTCACGAATCCCCAGAACATTATGTGAGTGGTCATTTTGAATAGGAGTTTCAATCGCTCAGTCTCTTTGCTCAAGATCTTGTGGCAAGGCAGGCGTGTAAAGGGTCCGAAGGGTCCACAATCAATCAGAGGCCTCTGTAACCGACATGCTTGAGTGCCCGTGAGGCATGCGTCCGGGGCAAGGTTATTGCAAAGCGGCTAGTCCAAAGATCTCACATGTAGTCAGTCTCGTGTACCTTCAACGGCTCTGATCCCACTGATCATCCAAGGGTCCGTTCTGAGCCACTCAAAGTCAACGGCTCATGATAACGCGAAGCGCCTACTAATCCCAAATTAGTTTGGCGTTCCCTGGGGCCCCAAGTTGGTGCCATTCACCCCCGCAGATCCCATTGTTTCCGCTGATTGGGCCAAGACGGATCAGTGATGGTGGGGCGACCAAGCGGGCTCGTTCCCGCCATCCCGCCTTCCCGCCTTCCCACCCACGGACGACGATCCGGCACCAGTCAGGAAAGATGGGATACGGCCTGCCTCCTTGGATATTCAAGGGCAAGTGAGTGGCCCACAGCCAGCAGAATGTCGACTTGTCCCTCGATTTTGCCGCCGGATGGGCGGCGCATCCTCTTGACGCGACTGCACCGATGTGTTTAGGGCCCTTTATCAACTGCAGCTCGTCAGATCCGAAGAGGTGAGGTTCGGCGTCGCCTCCCCTGCCTCTGTGTCGGTTAATGGAACCGCCTCGGAGCCATGGCCCCCGCCTGCTTCCGCGACTGAAGAGGAAGATGCAACGGACATCCAAAGAATGACAAAACGGATTGTCGCCTCTCGCGCCCGTTCTGGAGAGCTGCGAACGGGCTGTGCTGGCAGAACCACAATTTGTGCAATCAATTTGTAGCTGTCTAGGTCGGGCGCCGAGGCGCCGCCCCCAAATGGCGTTGGCTTGCTGTCCGTTGCCTTCTGCTGCTGCAGTCGTTGACTGTGCGCCGGTGGAGGCCATGGCTTTGATGGCTTTGATACGCAATGCACTCGTGAATGTGCGAATGGATGCGCGCCCCTCCGTCGATTCGAATGACGCTTTGCTCATCCTGCAGGCAAGGAAATATGTTCCGCCAAACGTGAAGCTCGTTGAACTGTTTGGGTGAGAGTTGGCGGGAACTGGGGTCCTGATGCGCATTCACGCGGGGTGAAGGTGGTGATGCCACACTGTGGTATTGTGGGAAGCTATAGGCATTGCCTTGGGGGCTCAGTTGCTTGAAGTCGTGCAATCCTGCACAGCCTGCACTTCATCCCAAGACAAACGTTGGGCATTCACATTTCTTAAAGTGATGCAGGGCAGCCCATGCCGCAATCTACATGTTATGTTGGCATCCCATGCATCTTCCAGAAATGCACAGTGGTCGTTGCCTTAGGGAGGGAGCACAATCCGCAGCATTCATTCACCACTCATGCAACCCATTGACAAACAAAGCTGGCAGTTTTCCATTGTTTTCCCAAATATTTGCGAATTATTCAATGCAAATTGCGCCAAAGTAGCCCTGGTTGTCTCCCTGGCCAGGGATTCGCAGTGCATCTTGTTGTCTGTGTGCTGAATCGCATTTTGAGTTTCTGGGCATGAACTAGAGGCTCCTTAGACAACCTGTCCACACAATGCTGTGCAACATCCACAAAGCAAAAAGGCAGGCAATCCAAAACGTTGTGCTGCTGGTGTGTGTGTGTGTGGCGAGCATGTGCATGCAAGTGCCTGTGGCACACAATCATTGCAGTATCCTCCTTACTACCACTGTGCTTGTTTGTTATCGAATGCAGTCTTACTGTATGCAGGTACACACTGGGAGGGTTCTACCTCGCAAGATATACAGACAGTCCAGCCGGAGCCTTTGATGAGGTGAGGGATAGAATTTGCAGTGGCTGAAAAGGAAGTTGGATGCTTGGATTGTGAACAAAACTGCAGATTGGACACTCTCTCTTGTGCTGTGCTTGAGCTATTCATTTCCTGTATCGATGTCTGCATACAGAAGTGGTGAAGCTCAACCCAAGTTGGCTGTGCTGATTCTTTGTGTCTGTGTTCAGCTTGTTGTTCTCGGTGGGCTTGCATGGAACCGCCCAACTTCATGTGCATGGGCTGCACGAGTATATGTCAACAACAGGTGACAAGAAGATGCCTGCGCTCTCGTACTCCCTGGCATTTTCTTTTCTACTCTCCACACATCACAGACGCCTGTCTGGAACAACATACAAAACAATTGGCAGTTGTTTGGTTTGAATGCCCTATCAAATTTGGATGGGTGTTTCTGTGCATGCACTATGTTGGCTTCATCATCCTTTTGCAGGTATTCCTTTTATTCTGCAGCATCCATCATCGGTTTTTGCCCCAGTCTGATCTTGTACTTGCACATGAACTACAATGTGCTGTCTTGACATCAGCTGGCAGCAGTGCTTGTGATTCAGATGTTGTCTGTCTTTTTGTGCCTGTAGGAACCTATGTATTGGTATGTGCTGCTGGTTAGACCATAAAGGGAACAGCGTTTTTGCCTGCACTGCTTATTTTCTTGTGCTGTGCAATGCAGACATGCTCGTACACATGGCCTGACTCATTGTGGTCTGCCCTCACGATTGGCATCATTCAAAGCCACGCCAAACAATGACGCAACGGTCATGATGAGGGGTGGCTCGAAGTGGGGGGGTACATGGTGGAACACGGATGAAGGTAGCCGCCATGTTCAGTTGCTAGATGCAAGGCATTGTTGATGTTGCATCCACTGGACGCCCATACTCTTGAATGTGCAGCTGCAGAAGATGGCTTGTTGTGTATTTCCTTAATTCATGCTATCAACTGTTGTTAAAGAAATTGTTCGTGAGGTTTTGTACAATGTGCTTGGTGCAGAAATCCCGCCTCAGGCCGTAGTTGTTCGCAACAGAGAGCGTTGGTTGTGGTTCTTCAACAGCAGAAATGGGTTAAGGATGCCTGTGTGCACATTCAACTTCAACAATGCAAAGAAGGGAGCAAAGGGCCCGAGAATTAAAATGTACCTTCCCAGTTACAGGTACGGTCCTTGAGAACTGTTGCAAATTATCTTGCTAGTGGGGATTCGGCACTTTGCTGGCAGTGTTGGAATCTGGAACACAAGGACCCTGTGAAATAATAGAAGCGTTACCCTGATAGTAGAAGGACGCAAGTTTTGGGCGCTGCATAGGTGGTGGGTATATATTCTAGAGAGACATGCTAATTTGCTGCCAGACCTGTGCTTTGGCCGTAGACGCTGCATTACTGTGTCAGATAAACACCCTTCCTTTGCGATTTGGGCCAGTCATCCTGCAATTCACTCATGCCGTTGTGTTGTCGACTTGGTGTTTCAACGATTGAACATGGACCGATTGGTCCAAGACTGTGAAGTGAAATTCCCTTACCTGAAACATCAATGTAACACAGGGTTCGCATCTTCTCACTTGTTGTCACCACTGGATAACGTCATGTATAAGGTACTTGTCGCTCGCTAATGCCACAATGTGTGAGTCCAAATGAACCACAGTTTTTGTTGGCCACACTGGCAGCTTTCACAAATCAGCAAATGTAGCTGCAGGTGCCATTTCTTTCAGCACATGCAGACCGATGCCATATGCAAATTTGCCAGCACGCCATCCTGGGAACCTTTTGATGCATTGAGATTTGCCTTGGCAAGTGGTGTAAAAGGGACTCCTCCAGTGACAAAATTGCCCATATGGATATCCCTGCTGGGTGCAAGTCAGTAAAGTCAGTGGACTACATGACAATGTACAACTAATTTGCAGACATAATTCAGAGGACATACTGCAGAAGTATATGTTTTGTACTGTTCTGCAAGTCAGCTGAATGCTGTTATCCTTTTTGCTGTCCTTTGCGTCATTCCTCACAGAGAGGGCAATACGGAGTTTCACACCTTTGGCCATTTTCAAGCATGAGTAGATCTCAGAGGACAGACAGAGGCTGTGGATTTTGCAAGTGCTGGCATGGAGGCTTGCGTCGTCAAGGCGTTTCTAAGTCACCTTTATTCTGTGAACACAGTGGCTGCACCCCCCACGTTCGGGACATGCTGAAGTACTCTTTGGAGCTGCGCACCAATGTGTCCCTTGTCCGACCAGTACAGTTGACGTTGCCACCAGGCGAGGAAGACAAGGAGAATCGGGAGATGCTCACCGCGGTGCTGTGCGGAAAGCCACTTGTGGCTCTATCCTTTAATGACATGGAGGTTAGTCAATGCTCCCGGGCTATAAATAGCAGGCTATGCAGCACTTTATGTATTGCAAAAATTTGGCTGGGGGCTTTGTCAGTGTGCAATTGCCATGGCTCTGCCGTCCAGCAATTGCTGGACGAATGAATTTGCCAAATTCCCAGGGCACATGTAGCAAGGCAATGTGCATCCCCAATACCTGGCCACGGGCTGCTCATTTCCAACCTTGCCCACACAAGTGGATCGGGGTTTGCCAGCGAACGCAATTCTGAACCAGTGCATTCCCTCATGGCCAATCACGCCGTTTACGTAAGGCATGTTGCTTTCAGTGTTGGATGTGCAGCCACAGCTCCTGCATCATGCTACAATCAAGAACGCCTGTGGTCTCCTTTGCTTGCTGACATTGGGAATGCTCTTTGATTCGGTAGTGTCATTTCTGCCACCATTCTAGTGCTTTTTGGCTCTTATGTCTGGCTGCCTAACGCTGTCGTTGTGCCTCCTGTCTTGCTACTCAAGATGAACGTGGAGGCTCCAGAGGTGGTTGTGAGGCAGGGGCCCAAGCCCAGTACCCCCAACCAGAAGTTGTGAGGGCGAGCCTTGCTGGCAAGCAAACACAGGGCTACAGAGGCTTCCGCTGCAGGGTTGCATGGGATCTGATTGAATGGAAATTCGAGAGAGTCCAGTTTTGCGTTGTTGCACCCTTGCGCACGCATCCTTGCAGTTTTGCAAGATGCATTTTTGAGGGAGTTGGGATCTGCAGATACTCGCAGAAGGCCGTCGACATGGGCATTGCTTGTACGGATCGCCAGAAGAGAAGCGCATTTAAGGCGGGTTTTCTTCATCACCCATGCATGTCAAGGCGGTGCGCCAATCCTTGAAGCGCACCCATCCCTCGTGCTGTATTCAGACTCCCTGTCTTGCGAATGGCACTGTTCTACCTGGCAATGAAGGTGACGCTGCCGTATCAAAGGGAGACGTTTCACTGATGCCCCTGTGATGACGCACTGCACATTATCCTGGGGGGACGCCCGGTATTAACAGTTGTGGTGGAGGAATGAGCGGGATAGTCGAGGCTCTCAGTGCTGTCTGCATGTTGGCTTTATGCATCACATCAAGGGCTACTCGAGCATGCCAGGCCAATGGGAGCTTCGGCTGCCGTGCTGTCACCGTATCGAAAGGCTTTGCATAGGCATGTCCCAGACATCCGATCTGGCGACCCACATATGCACGTTACCAAACAGAACCTTGTCGCTCAGCAAGCCCACTGTTCGACCCTCCGTTACTGGACCACGATGCCGGGACCATCAAGTACTGAAGTTGTCTTGAAGATGAGGCCAAGATAGCCCCCATGGAAGTGTTATCTTCCACGGAGAACAAGGCGTAAGTGCAGGAGGAGAGGTTGAGAATAGGCATTTATCTGATGCCACGTACACATTAATATTTGTGATGCATTTGTTGTAAAGGAATCCAGTATGTGCCTCTGTCGATGACATGAAACGTCGTTCCACACTGTGAAAACTGCCGCGAATCCTGGAATTAGTCGTAGGACCGACGGTGCACAAGGTGCCCTCTTGCCAATGGTGTGAAGATGTGCTCAAAACGTTACCACATTCACCCATACCATCGCTCGTGGTGTGCAGATCAACCGCTCAACTCACACACACCAGTCGCAAATGCCCCATACCCTTCAGCTCCGCACATGAAGTCATGGGGCTGATGCCGGTCGCGGAGTTAGGGAGTAAAGAAGTCATGAAGATCATTGTCGGGTTTTGGAAGATGGACTTTAAGGGTTCCAGGTCCACAGTACCCTTCATGACTTTCATGATCCCTTCGTGACATTCGTATCCAGAACTGATAGCCATCGGACAATCATCGCACCAGCCAGCAGGCCCACGGCTGGGAATACCGTAGCACAGTATGCCCTTCCGCGTAGCAACGTAACGTTTGGCCTTTTCTATGCAGAACAACAATGAGAATGTAACGGTGCCAAGAAAATGTGGAGCGGTGCCAGCCGCAACACAGGGGTCTCTGGACTGCTCGTGACATCTGGCAGCCCCAAATGCATGAGTCGCTGTGGTGGAAAACCGGCATTTGAGCCATGTGAACTGAGCGGAGTCGCCACTGTGGCTGTGGCCATGATGCCGAGCACCAAAAATAACAGTCTGTTGAAAGCATGCGGAGCCAGCACGGCAAAATTGAAATTTCAAAATGGCGAAGGGTTGAATATATATTGTACGGTAAGCAGCTCTCTGAGTCTTTCCATGAAAGCTCGGTCTTGGTCGTTGGTCACTTCCAGCAACTTGGTGGGCATGAAATTAGACGCTGTTTCTTTTCGGTGAGGAACCTTCTTGCTTCGGACACCGTAAACACCGGCGTTGGCCTTGTCAGTGGAAGAAGGGGTCGTCATGGCAAAGACAAAGGGACTAAAGGAAGACGCTATGTCGACTTTGGTACACATAGCGTCAAACTGACGTTGGGGTGGGGGTGGGTCCAGACCTGGACGCAAAGAGATTACGTTATTGACCCGAGAGCGACGTAAGGAGGAAAGGTGCCTAAAAACGCCACTGATGACCGTCAAACAACCCATGACATGTTCCTAAGCCTCTTGTAAGCGTTCGACCTTCAAAAAAGGCCTTAGAATGGATCAATTTGCAGCCATTGAGGCTGCCCGCCTCACCTACAATGGCATTTAGAATCCAATTTTTCAACCCACTGAAGTCTGCACAACTTTCATTGTTTTTCTCCTTCGAAACACCTGGAAATTGAGTGCTACTGGTAGGTAATGTTGCTAGGTCATCCTGGCTTCGACATAAGGATCGACGTTACAGAGGGGGGGGGCCCTCTCAGCTCAACGTCAAATTGACGCCAAGCGTTCCAAAATCGACAGAGCGTATTCCCTAATATATTCCAACTTGGTGTTGGGTTTGGGTGGCACGTCGGCCCGCCCAGAGCCTCGAGGTCAATCGCGCTCGCGGCCAAGGGCCAGGTTTCCGCGCTTGCCCCGGGCACAGCGGCGTATCCAGCCGGACGCCGATAACGGCACGGTCCAGCCCTGCCCTTTCACAAAGAGGCTCGGAATCGAAGCCGGGCACCACAGGTGCGGATCTCGCGCGCGTGAGCGTGACGCACGTCGCGCCGCGCTGGATGGCATCCCCATCCAGAACCTTTGGCGCGATCCGATTTGTCTCGAGGATCGCCCTATCCGGGAGGTCCAGCGTGTAACGGCAGTCGTCGGTGGTGGCGATGCCCCGGCAGGATGCTCAGTAATGTCGACCACCTGCGGGCGGGACCATTGTCGGGCTGGACGGTCGCCGGCCCCCGGCCGTCCTTGTGGATTGCTCGCGCGCCCACAGTTGCATTGCATCGCGAGGTGCAGGATTCAAACTGCCGGGAGCCAAGCGCGCCACTGCTTTCATGCCCGTAATGCGGGAGTTTGGCCATGAACGGCCATCCTGTGTCAATTGGCCCCATGGGCCCAGGAAGATGGCACGTTCGGTGCGCCTTGAAGTCCCCACAAACCCCTGACGGTAAGGGTCCCCATGAGCTGAGGGTTGCATGAGGCGCGTTTCTGCGCATGAGGCTTCCTAGTTGGCACTCAGGTTCCATGAGTGACGTGCAATCGCAGTCCAGCAGCCGACACATGTCTGCTCGCAACCCATTGACGTCGCGAGAGACTGTGGGGGCAGTGGAAAGTTCTGTTCCATTGGGTGCGCCCCATAGGGGGTGGTGATCGCTGCGATCGAAGTCGATGGAGAGCAACGAGGGGGCTAATGACGTGCCAGAGTTGGCCTGAGAATCCAGATTGTTGGCCGATTGGATCAGTTATCAGAAAATACAACGGGCAGCCAGGCCACCGTCCCTCCGAGCGAAAGCTCGCTTTCTTCGTAGCTGCAAGTCGGGTGAACTTCAAATGTGTGTTCTCAGGTGTTGTTCAAGCAAGAGCCCTACTGGTGCATATGTCAGAAGACTCTGACAAAACGCTGTCTTGGCACGTGCACACGATGTTAATCGCTGGTCATAAAGGGGGAAATGATTCCAACAAATGGTGTACCTAATTGTGTTCAAGCAAATACTGCCTTGATCCTTCTCTCCTTTCAACGTTGTTATTGGCTGAGAGGCAGGGTTTGACTCTGGTGGATTCCACCTTGCACATTCCTGTGCTTTCATTCAATCGCAACACAGTGCAAGCACCAGGCACAGAGGCAGCTCCTTTGATTGCCTGGAAGCTTCACCAAAACTGGGAAGACCTTACGCACATTTTCCTGCAGTGCTGGTCCCATGATGAGATGATGTTCTCGGCTGCAGTTGCACTGCACATTTTTGCCACCGTGGATTAACAAAGGATACTTGGCAGTATGTGTAGTACGCGGACGCTACATTGTGGTTTGCACCTATGCAGTAGTTTAGCAATGCATAGCAGTAGTACACAATAGCTATCAATGCTACTTAGAATCCATAGATTATCTATTGAAACTACTTTGACCGCATGTGTTTCGACTGGACAACCAATGTCTTTCCACCAATCCCAGTGAATGCTGCACAAGGGCTGTCAGCCCTTAGTGTTAAGCTCTACATGCGATCATACTGGTCATTGACTGGATCGCTTTGGACAGGGGCGTTGGGCCGATGTCTGAGTATTCCTGGTCATCATCGCAAGGCGAGACGCCCAGCTGGGGCTCACGATGGAAGGGAGCGCCCATAGGCGAGGTTGGTCAACAAAGCCTCATTTGTTCACAATGAATGAAAACCCTGGGAACATGATCTGGCATGCATCTGTCTCTGCCTGCCAACTGTTTTCAGTGTTCATGAAGTGTGGCTGCATTGTGCTCATGTGGCTGACTCGCATCACAGGATGCTATTGGTGGTTCCATCGTTGTTGTGTTCTTTGTTGAGAAAGCACAGCCTTCTTAGTGACTGTTGTACGCAAGCCTAATACCCCGACTGCTGAACCCACTGTATGAGCAAATAGCTCAGAGTGTCGATGACTATCATGTGTGTGTGCTGTTATTGATCTTGCAGCATCGCATTGTGTGGGAGAGTGTCATTCCTTGACCTTCCCTTCTACAATGCAAAACGCAGTGGATTTCATCTACCCATATAGGTGATGCAGCTCCTGACTATAAGACAGTTGTGGATCTCCTCACATAAGGTCTTCAGACCTGCAATAGCACCCCAGCTACACATGGTGTATATGTGCCAGGGCAACTCATTGCTGAAATGACAAATTGTGAGTCCCCTGGTTAATGCGTGTTTATGCAAGTGGGGAGTGATGATCTGGAGGCAACAATTGTTGCAGTACTCTGGGTGCCTTGGCATTCAGCGGTGAACCCTTAGCCAGGGATCTTATTGAGGATTGGGGATCAGGCAGTTGGCCACAAATCGCCCTTGCACATGACGGGTGTGGACCAGGACACTGGTCTCTGCAAGATTGGCTGCTTTGAAGGAGGGCAGCCGCTGTTGATGACATTTCAGTCAGGATGCCTTTTCCAGAAAAGACCAGGTGGAAGGCGTAAGAGTGGTCTTGGGGATTCAAGTGCTCTTTGCATAAAAAATTGCTGTACCACTACAGTGTACCGCTGAATTAAAAGCACAGTTTCCTGATAGGGTGCTATGTACGCACCCCGTGTGGCTGCAGGGCCCAGATGGCAAAGTGCTGTACTCCTGTGTTGAGATGGAGCCTATGAACGATGCAGAAGAGCCATTTGAGGTGAGTGAACTGTCAGGTTATGCAGGATTGAAACAGTGCGAAATCCACAGTGGGTGCAGTCATGGAGATGTGATGAATATCTGCCCTTGAGCATTTCAGGCGATGTCATCAACAGCGATGCAGTCGGACAGTCTGTTATGGGCGTGGCTGCTGAGCTGGCTAACATATATTCGTGGACGGGTCATTGCAAGCAACTGTTTGGTAAGCAGAGGGTTTGTATTGTTTCATTTTGCGAATTTCGTTAACCTCTGGCGCTTTTGGCTGATGTTGTTATAGCGAAAAGCGCTCAGTGACAGTCAATGCCTGACTGGCTCGAGTGCAAACCAGAGGCAGCAGTTCTGAAGTGCATGACGAAATTATTGTCTGCGTGAAATGCTTGCGGCCACAAGTGCCCAGGCGCCCAATGAGTATTTAGCTGGTTGCTTGGGGTTGCAAAATCGCGAACAATTTTCTGCTTTCTCAGAAAGACTGGCTGCACTTAGCACAGTTTGGTGTGCTGCATGACAGCATGTAGAGCTGCTGGGGCCCTAGGGTGCTCTTGCCCATGGCCACACCAGGCGCTGGGAGAAAACCATGAAGGATGGCTCGCACAATGTGCTTCACATCGCATGCACAGTACTGTGTTGGACATCAGATCACTGTCCAGTCACTCACTGTCGCCACGCCCACCTTGTCAATACACCATATCTTCCTGTGGGCCATATCTTCTTGTTCATGAACAACGTCCTCACGCATAGAACGCACCATCTTTTGCTACGCTCTCTGTCCCATCTGTGATATTTCCAATTTTATGTACTTTCCACATTTTCCGTTGTTATTTCTGCATTGTCAGCGTTTCTGTGCTTGCTTCAGTTTCTGTAACAGTGTGCCTTGGGAGTTGTGTTTTGTCTTCAATTTTCCTGCTGCCACCCTTTTCTGTCCATTTAGCAACTTTCCATTCCATAGCTTGCGATGGCCATGGCTCAGGTTTGCATCGGAGACTCTGTCGAAATATTTGCAGACGCTGACGAAGCATCGAAGCTCCCGAAGCTGCCAGATGGGAGTGACAGGGTATATGTGTTGAAAGTGACCAAGCTTTGGGAGGGGCCATGGCAAGGTGCCAAAGTGAGTGCCTTATGCTCTTGCAAGATGACTCCTGACTTGTCCTTGTGACCACCAACTTTGGTGTCGTGCAGCATTCGATGTGTGTTGTGTGTTGCTGGTGTGCCTGTCGAAGCGTATCCCCGTGCAAGGGGTTATCACAGGCCCTGCTTGTGGAGCTGCTTGGCTTCTGACCGGCGAAACTCTTTCAGAATCATCATCTTCTTGATGGCGTTTGCAAAGATCGAGAGACTCTGCCGCACCCACCTCACAAGCTCTGTCCCGCAATCCACCCCAGACTCTTCCCCACTATCCGTTTTCGTTGAAAGTAGTTTTTTAGTTTGTAAACGTTGGAAAAACTGAATGAAACTAGCATGAAGTTCTTGCTGGAGTTACCAGGCTTCAAAGAAGAAATGTCAAGCAGACCTGGGCCTGGGACTCTGAGACGACGGCTGAGCTTCCCTGAAAGTGTTTAGGACGCGAAGTGCTTCGAGGGAGAGTGGTTTTACACACTGTGGGACACTGTGATCCTGACTGAAGTAAAAGGCAGGGCCCGCCTGCCTACTGTAGGCAAGGGCTTCGAGCCCCTGGACTTGCGGCAAGTGTTTAAGGCTGACCCAAATGAAGATCTGTGGGAGCAAACGTGCGAGGTCGCTGTGATCAAAAGGTGCGACACTGGGCAGGCGCAATTGCTCTTTTGCCACAAGAAATTCTATATCCTGGATATGGAATAGAATGTGGGGTGCCGACATCCTGGATATCGAATATGATACGGGTACCACATCTCAGATATGCATGTCCAGAATGGGCATGTCCATGGATATGCGATTTTCTCCGACGCTTGTGCAGCTCGGTGGCTGTTTTGAGATAGTTGCCACAAAAGATTGTAATTGCAATGTGACTGCAAATCTTGGGCAGCAGCAACCGCGACCTCTTACCGAATGACCCACCTTGTGACATTGCAATGCACCACTATCTTCGATCGTTCAGTGGGCTCTCAAGAAGAGAATGGGCCTGGAGCCTGGCGCGCTTGCCATTCTGTCGTGATGCAATATTGGCACGGCACTGACTTTTCCTGCCTTTCCAGGGTGGTTCGTGTTTTGCACGTGACGCCTGGAAACCCCGCCCCGGACATTGGCAGTTGTGACTACTGGTGGGCTTTGACGCATTCAAGACGTTTCCACACCTTTCAGGACCACGACCACAGGCCGACAATGGCCCAGGAGAACCGGGTGAGATGAGCACCCCGTGGTGTTGCTGAATGATCTCATCTTGTGCAATCCAAGCATGCCAAATGTGTGGGAAGGGTTCACCACACTACGGATTGCTGATATGGCCTTAATGCGCAAGCCTAGTACCAGCCATGGGGAAGTACATGAACGTGCGAATGTACTTCTGGCTGCATACATGGCTTTAAACTGTAACAAATTCTGTAATGTAATAGCTTGCTGTGCTCTGTGTTGTGGGTTTGATGCGAATGTGCCTTTCTTATTTATGTCCGCCGTCCTCTTGGGGCTGCGTCGGCGAGTCCAATTCGAAAGCAGATGATAGACAGCAGGCAAAGCTTGGCAACTGTGTGCCCGTGCACTGCCCTTTTTGTTAGGCATAGTGACAAGCCAACGATGTTGCGCGCGACATGGCTCTGGTGTTGGTGCATGAGGAATGTAGGAAATGTCGCTTCCAGTCAATGATCAGGATTCAAGGCGCCAATGGCAATTTCTCTTGCATTGACTTGTTTATTGCATTAACGAAAATCAACCTGACATTAATTTGCAAACCATGGTTAAACGTAGGCTTGCAAATACGGTAGTTACTGCTGAGAATGGTAGTGCTTGAAATGCGTATATTGTTACGCACATTAGGAATCTAAAAGTACGACCAGAAATACGGCAAACCTTTGCACAGTCACAGCCTCAACCATATGTACATTCAATCAGCTACTGTCCGTGTCCAACCAGTCCATATTTTTCTCCCCTACTGCCTCTGCAACAGCGACAATGTCATCGATGACCCTCTCATCGTCGACCCGCTCAGGATCATCAGGGTGCCGTTTTGCCCGCCTCTTGCAGCCGCTTTAGCTAGCGTGCTGCATGGATCATTACAAATCAACGACACGTAAGCTCAATCTGCGAGTATCCAATTTGCATGTGTCAGTGCCGGGGATCTTCGGTGTTGCCACTCGCTCCTTGTTGCATCCTCAGCGCGCCAGGCTCCCCACCTTCTCCGAAAATAAACGCAGTTAAACACGTCTCTTTAGAAACATCGAATTGAGAGTCTTGCTAGAGTGCGCGCGTTACTGAGTACCTAGAAGAAGATTACGCCGTATTCCCCAAGCTTGGTATGGCGCTGTCAAACCGTGTGATCATTACCTCGTTGAGGTTCCGTTGTTTTAAGTATTGAAGTTCTGCACTATACGATCCATGTTCTGCGTAGTGCGCATGTATGTCTATCAGCCACAGCATTTTCAAGACATTCCCTGTCGTTGCAGCATGCAGAAATCCAGGGTTGTTGTTGCAGGCTCTCAATTCAGTGGAGATATACAGCGGCTGTGGTGGCTTCTCGTTCGTCGCCCAGAGAAGCGAGCTTGGGAGTGTGGAAGTGCGCCACGCTGTCGACATATTTGAAGATGCCCTCAGCACTTTCAAAGTCAACCATCCCAGCACGCACGTGAGGGCGGAATCCGAATGGCGCGGAATTTTTGCTGGCATTCGACAGATATTATGCATGTGGATAGTCGGACGTTACAAGAGCGAAAGACATGTAATAAAATATAACATTATATTTTTTAAAAAACACATTTTTCATTTGGTAAACATGACGAAACCCGAAGGGAAGCAAGGCTGTAACCAGATACGTTATAAGACAAGCACACCAATCAAATAGCAGTTGATGAAATGTTCCTGATTAGTAATCGCCATATCTCCATATTTATTTCACCATAGTTTAGCACCATGTCCCCGTGTCCAGTCACACCATAACTAGCACCATTTTCTGTATAATTATTTGATTAAATGCCTCGCCCACACAATAAATACTGAAGTAAGTAATCAGCATGGCTGAATTGGTATCATTACAGCTCAAATGGTGCTTGAAAGGAAGCAACTGTTGTATTTCTACCGGCCCCGCGAATGGCTGTCAGAGTGGATAAAACAATGGCAGTTCAAGATCCATTCAGCGACTCATGCATCATCTTTTAGGAGAAGTAGGCACAACAGAATATTACTGAACCTTAGTTACTGAATACTACCAAGATCCGAGTTTTGCAGCTGTTGTGATGAAACGGTGTAACACAACGTTGTGTTCTGGTACCTTCCTTGGGGGCCCTTCCTTGGTGATGGGGTGGGGTGGGGGGGCGGCCTAGAACCATGTAAATACCACATAATTGTTGCGCTATATTGGTTATTTGCTCGGAATGCTGTAATCATGATTGTTTCTGTTCAATATTTGAAGTAACCAGATGCTGTGGAGTGGAATAAACCTGTAGGCTAGCAAGAACTGAAAGATTGATGCGAAGAACAAGCAATCATCACTGACGCACTTGGATTTTAGAACTGTGTTTCATTGGGTTGACCTGCCGGTTGGAATCCGTTGACCTCGCTATTTGCTTGTTCGCCGAGTTTGAGACGACACCGAATGCGACTGCGTGCGTTTTTGCTTCGTCGCCTTGATCATCTTCCTCCCACAGTAATCGACACATTCGTATTGCCAAACTTCACATGCTTCTGCAATGCAAGCTCCAGCCGCACTGTCCATCGGCTGGTCTGTTCCAGTCCCTTTCAGGCTGCCACGATCTCATGCTGGGCACGCCATGTATGTCTCCACGCAAGCGTCATCGAGCTATGCGTGCGCTGAGCGTGGCCACGTGCATGTCGTGAGCATGGCAACAGTCCTGGCGTGCATACAGTGCAAGCACTTTGCAGCACTGTTGAAGCCAGCTGACAATGATATGTGTGATGACATGTGTTGACTCATCAAGCAGCGCACACTGCCATTTTCTTATGTGTACTTTACAAATGATGCACTGTGAACCTTGCTGCAAAACAAGTCTGTTTCGAGACGGCCATGTCTTTTGTCGATATCCGCATGGATATGAGCTCCACGTGTTACCCGCATCATGCACGGTGCGGGCAAAACGCAGAACTTTCCGTGCAAGGATGTCTGCATGTGCTTTGACAGATTTCAGAATGAAGTGCGCTGATGTGGCTGCACGCCCATTGTCGTAGGTCCACCTGATGCATGTTGATGAATTCCTTTTCGTGTGCCAAAAGCTGCGCCAACTCCGCCGGAAACACTTGGAGCGACCAAATTGCGACCCGAATGGCGGAAACCGTCAAGAGCACGAAACACAATATCAGGTTCGTCCCTGTTCCTGAGAAACTTCCAGCTTTGGCTTGAATCTACTGGGGAATAATTACTGAAAATTGCAGTGACGCTCGGGCAATTTAGCCCCATCTTGACACACGGTTCTGTTACAGATTTTCGAGGTGCAAACTAGTTTGAAACATGCCAGATATTGCAATGAAAGGCTGTTCTATCCTGCGATCGTGGTTTGCTCGTTAGCAATATCGCAATGGCAAGGTGTAACGTTTGCAGTTGCCCATAGTTATTGGAAGAAGTTGCAGAGAGCAGCAAGCTTGGCCCTGCTACAGGAGTGTGCCTTTGACTATGCAGGGATGCATAACATCTGTGAAGGTCGGGCACCCGCCCACCAAAGAGTGGGTACCAGGGGAAGGGGGGAACACCCTGGACCAGCTTCCTGAAGATCTGACAGAAGAAAACTCTTGGCTCATGTTTGAATACAGTAGCTGGCCTGGAAGGTGACGCATTGTGGGCTATGGTTGCAGTGAGATAAGATTATCCAAACAATGTCATGCGGTGCCGGCCTGAGTCAGGACAGAAATGCACAAGAGAGGAATGTCCTCCCTCCCATGTATTTCCTGTACTGACTCAGGCCAGAACCGCATCAGCTCAACTGACGTCACTCATGGCAGTTTCTGTTGCACACGATTTGCGAGCAGCGTTCCCATTCGCAACTTGAGGCTTAAAGCCTGAGCATTGTAGAGCGATGAGACGACACTGTTTTTAGTGTTGTGCACTTAGCGGCAAATTGACGCTAAGCTCAGAACCCCCACCTACCCAACCTACCCACCCTCCCTGAGTGCATTTTTATTGCCTTTTGAGTTTCTGGCGTTGCATCCTTATCTTTTCGCATTGGCAGCTCTATGTCTTCTTTTCACACATGTAAAAGGCCCTCACATACACTTGCTTAGGAGGAGGTGCCCATTGTATGGCCTGTTTCTTTCTCTCTTTGTAGCAAATCTCACCCCCACCCCCACCCCACCCGCCCCGTCCTTGGAGGCCTTACTTTAAACTTGACATTCCGCACATTCCACATGTTTTATGCGGGCCCCTTGAGTACATGTTCTCTTGCCCTTTGTGTTGCTTGCGTTGTGCACTGATCATTTCGCATTGGAGGCTCTATATCATTTTTTCACAACATGGAAAAGAGTCTCATATGCAGTTGCTTATGGGGGTTGCCCTGTGTATGAACTTGTTTTCCCTTTTTTAAACAAATCTTACCCCTTCTTAGTGCCAATCCTTAGTTTGACGCCTCTTGCAGGACTTAACGATAGTGTGTTGCAATGCACGGTAATAACAACGTCACTGTTGTCCCTCGCCTACGACATTCCCACGTTGCCATGAAGATTGCCTAAACGTGTTGTCGGCGCATGCTGGTTGCCTTGGCGATCCTCAGAGCGATCTGTGGCAGTCACCAGCCTGCAGCACGTGCCACGGTCACTGCCACTGCAATCACTGTGTTCGTGTCCAAGCTCGCTTGCCTTGCCCCCTGAACCCAATGCCTGTGCTGCTTTACATCGCCCCACTCTTGAAGCCCTGCCAGGCGTCGTGAGCATTGGACAGTACCACGACGTCTTTGTTTGGCCAACGAAACAAGCGTCTGACTGCAAACTGCTCTCAAACGCCCTCCAGATGGGCTGAACCATGCCCTCGAACTGGCACAGATGTCATCGCGTCACGTACATGCCCACGATTGCATTTCTGCAATCTGTTAAAAATTGGTTCGGGATCCTATGTATGTACGCCTTGGCAAACTGAGCACGCCGTGGTGTGCGGGCCAGATTTAACGGAAATTTGTGATTGATAAGAAGAGGTTCTGCTAATAAAATCGCTGGTAGGTGCCTAGCTCTGTGTGAGTAGGATTGCAATCACAACTTCATGTATGGAGTAGTTTGCCCGTATTTTCTTTCCTTGGAAACTGATGTGCAGCTTTAATGTGATTAACAAAAATAACAACAGCATACAAATGGTTGCTTGCATGTACTCTGAGGGTCAGAAATCCTTACAACATTTGGACGTGTGTGTTTCTGATGACTGCAAGGTGGTTTGGACGTCTTCTTGTTTTAGTTTAATTTTGGTGCAGTTGCATTAATCTCTCAAATCCACGGCCTGGACCCCTCCCCACTTAGTGTTCATTGACGCTAAGCACACAGAATTCAAAACGTTTCTTTCCTAACGGAAGTCCATCCTTGCCATATAATCCAGTGGTGATGGACAACAATCTACACTTTGCCCCTTTAATCCAAGGATGACGTGGCATGTGCTTTGGTGGCATGCACGCCTTAGGTCATTTTGTGTTGAGGGCTCTTCAAAATCAATGATGTGGCTCCTACCGTGCTCAGTTACTAACAGTTCATCTTATGGGCTGATGACTCGTTTTCTTGTCAACAGACTGCCCGAGAGGCTCATGACTGCCCGAGAGGCTCATGTCTATCTCATTGCGAGGCTTTATCTTGCACTAGCTTTCTGCTGCAGCACTTTCCTAACATAACGCATTGTGGCTTAACAACAAAGAGCAATGCGCTCGTGTGCCATGACCACAAATTTCCGATTCGTCCAAGAGAAAGTGCCCAAACTTGCAGTCCTTCCTCTACACATTTCCCATGCAAGCCCATGTTGCAGCCGTACCCTGAAGGCATTGGTTATGTGTGCGTTTCATCCACAGTAGCGAACAAGGGCGTTGCTGGTTGAAGGAGAGCACAGTGCCCTTGCGAGCACTTGTGGCATTCTTGAAAGGTGTGGTGAAACACGGGACGTTTCCATCACCAAGAGAACTCGCCAACAGCCCTGGGGATGTCGATCTCATCTGCGGTGGACCGCCCTGTCAAGGCATCAGCTGCCAGAACTATGTAGCGAAGACAGAAGACATCCTTGAAGATGAGAGGAACAAGCAAATCATAGTTTTTCTGAAGGCTGTTATGGTGTTCAAGCCGAGTTTTGTCCTCTTAGAGAATGTCTTGGTGAGGCGCTAGCTTTGACTCAGGCCTTGGGCTGACAATCAGGCAGGTAATATTGCACGGTAATGATTTTGTGCGATTTGAACTACGTTCCTAGGACATTATCACCAATGCACAGGCCCAAAGGCTTTGCACCATAAGGCTTATTGTGCAAAGCCTTTGGTTCTGTGCATTATTGATAATGTCCCAAGAACGTAGTTAAAATTGCACAAAATCATTACCGTGCAATCCAATGGTTGGCACATGGCGCGTTGCCTGTAAGCTGTGCCCATAATGTTGATGCAATCTGAATAGGGACCGCAGTGCACACAATGGCGGTTTAAGCACGTGTTGGATGCATTCCGATTTTTGTGCCCTTCAATATCAATATTTGAAGTGCACATGCTTTTATTTAAATTCACTTCCCTCAAGTGCGCACATCTGCTGGCTGAATAGAAAATATGGGTGTGCATTGTGTTGCTTTTCTTTTTTTTGTCTCATTTGTTTCTTTGCACCACATACACGAAGTAAGTGCTATGGTCTTTATCACTTTGCGGCAGCCAAGGGAGCAAATCAGGAGCAACAAAATCTTTCAATAATGTGAAATGGAATAGCCAAGGTGCTAACTTCTGCATCTTGTGTTTAGGGAAACAAACTTGTTACTGGTGATGTTCATTTGGGAGCCCCTTATTGCCGAATGGGCCATTTGACGCATTGTGTAGCAAATGCAAACAGCGAACTTTGCTGTCTTTTTCGATGTGGCGAAATGCAAGGGGCTGGTGTGGAGGCGGCAGAATGCGCGCAGCGTCTAGCTGGAGTGCGCCATTCAGTTGCCAGAACTTATGCATTGTTAGTTACAATTTGGTGCACATTCATCCAGAACTTTCGCAAGTGCTTCCCAAAGGAATGCCGTGGGACACTGGATTGGGGAGAGGCTTCACCACCACGCCCAGCCACCATCAATTGCTCAATCTGTGGCCACGCACCTACAAGGACGTGTTTCATGTTATTGCCATTTTAGTGTCACACGTTGTACTAGTCTGGTGTGCTATAGGCAACTGCAAATTGCTGGCTTCTTCGTTTTGCCATCGTGGCTTTTACTTGTAACTCAGTCTGACAGCATGTGGCGTACTATAGGGCTGGCATAGCAATGACCACTGAAAATCAAGCATGCTCATCATAGGATTTGCATTTCCAGGCGCACGCGTCAGGGCATGTGTCAATTCAAAGCGATTGTCCCTGTTGTGAAATGCTCATTGTTCATGAGGTTACACCAATGACTCCCCTCCATTGTGAGATGCAATGTAGCGATTCCTGCATGCTGTGTGCCAATTTGTGGCCAAGCTCAGACTTTCTCTCCCAACCCCCCAACCCATATACCTCAATGTCACTCCAAAGAGTCAATCCCTGCATCGACTCTCATATATGTCACCGCATATATAGTCACCGCATATATAGTCACTGTGATCAGGTGACTGACGGCAGTACACAATACATGATGCAAACGAGGAGGTTTCAGTTGATGCACCTCGCTTTGGTTCCCCATCAATGATCGTGACCGTTCGCCTTTTCATGATTTCCTGGAAGCTCCAAGGAATCTCCCTGCTTGACGTCCCTGGCTGGGCCGGCGCAGGTGGCACAATTCCTACCCTAGAGCGCCGGGGTTGCTGCAGAGATGTTTTGCAGCAGCCCCTGACGCTTTGCGCATAGGAATTGCATCAAAGGCAGTGTATAGGACTCTAGATAGACAGCTTAAGACACATCAGCATTCACGAAGCAAGAGGCCTGTATGTTTCCATTTATGAATGTTCAGTATCAATAATCGATATTAAGCAATATCGCAGGGCTGGAGGCTTCTACCGATATCAGCGTTAATTTGGCGCAGGCGCGGAGCAAGCGCAGTACAGCACCCTCATTGTGGCAACGCGAATGTCTGGCCTGCTTGATTAGACCACAATCAAATGTTTGAAATCAGACTTTTAAGCATCTGAATGGCTGAAGTGACACGATGTCTTGCTGTCCGCCTGACTTTGTGCCATGAACGCCCTCAGGCAACGTTCGAAAAGCATCGGGAGGATGGGCTCTATATGAAATTCGCGATTGCGACGCTGCTATCCATGGGGTACCAGACAAGGCTGGGCGTGGTGTCCTCGGATGATCAAGGGGTGCCAGAGGCCCGCCGGAGGTTCTTCCTTTGGGCCGCGAAATCAGGAGCAGAGGCACTGCCGCCCTTTCCGAGGCCGGTGTTTCATAGCATCAGGAGATGGGATGTGGGGCCTTGCCGCATGGTGGGCGAAACTTCACGTGTGGAAAATGGCCCCAAAGCATCCTTTTCTTTTATTCCTTACATCGTAAAATTGTGTCATAATGCAACCCGATGTCTGAGCCCGTTAACAAGAAATCTGATGTAGGGCTGTTTTTTCATTCGGTGATCTAGTACGGCCCTTTGCTCGGTTCCACTAGCCAGGATACAATCAATCTGCACAGGTAAATAATACACTAATCATTGGCAGACGTGGTTCGGCTGTTAGGTTGGTTGATAATATAATATAAGGATTCAAATGTTTATATCTCAAGTGCAGATTTTGGAAACTTAAGAATACTCAAGCATGGGCGGAAAATGTGCAATAGCGTCAATTCTTTTTGCTAGTGTGAACGGATGGAAAAGGGCACCAAAACCCCGCCAAGTTAGGCGGATAGGATCCTCTCGAAAATGCGGTTCACACTCAGAAATCCCGGTTGTGTCGAGTTAATTTCAGCGGGCATGACACAAAGTTGCGAGCAGGGGAGGAGGGACATGAGAGCTAGAGGTCAGCCCAGCCGTCCGCTATTTAGCGGTCCGTGCTACTGTCCGTAAAATAACCATAAAGCAGCAAACCGGATGATGGTAGGGAGCGGATTGAGCAGTAATTGGGCCCCGGTGAGCAGTAGGAAGCGAAAGGAGCGATAATCGAGGCTGGGGAGGCGGATGGGAGCAGCATGGAAGCATCACTAACCGGTAAAGTAGCCTCTCTTTGGGCCCATCCCGTCACCAACCGCAACGCTCCCTCTCTCACCGCTTGGCGATTAGAATGGGCACAGATACCAAACGAACGGCGCCTTGTGGGCGCCCACTCCGCCGCCGTGCGGGCCTCGATTGGCCTCCATGGGTGGTGGGCACCTGCAAACGTCGGCAAAAACGGTGGCACGCCACCATCAATCGAGGGCCTTGCGGGTGGCGGGAGTGGGTGCCTGCGACGCACCATGTTCCTGGCAATAAGGTGCCTCGCAAGCGCCCAATCCTGCCACCCGCACGGCCCCCGATTGGTTGCCATGGCTGGCGGGAGTGGGGGTCCGCAAGGCGTCATTTTCTTGGCAAAAACAGCACCTTGTGGGCGCCCACTCCCATCACCCGCGGGGCCCAAGCGAGGCCCACGCGGGTGGCGGGAATGGGCGCCTGCGACGCGCCATGTTTCTGGCAAAACGGCGCCTCACAAGTGCCCACTCCCGCCACCTGCGCAGCCTTCGATTGGTCGCTACAGGTGGCGGGGATGGGCGCCCATGAGGCGCCATTTTTGGGGCAAGTTTAGCACCCCGTGGGTGCCCACTCCTGCCACCTGCGGGTACCAAGATTGGCCCCCATGGGTGGCAGGAATGGGCGCCCGTGAGGCGCCAATCCACCACCGCTGCGCCACTCGCCGTGCTGCTGACGCCATTCCTCTCGCGTGGCTGCAACGGTACTCCACAACGCCGCAACGGTATGCATGGTACGCTGCCTCCCCCCCCCATCCCACATTCCGGATAATATTGCAAGTTCTTTGTTTTTAGCGGACAGTATGGCAAAAATAATTGGAAATACAGTACGGTAATTAACGGACAGCAGCGGGTGGCCAGCACCGACATCTAGTGAGAGCTGCTGTCATTGTGGTGTGAACCACCTCTACATCCCACAGGACTGTGCAGTTTACACTGAAGAAGACAATAGGGGTGGCCCCAAGGGTATCAAGTTGTTTCCCCCGCTGGTGGTCGGGGACGCTTTGAGCGACCTGCCGCCTGTCACGAACTACTGCTTTGCGGACGCAATGGACTATAAGCTGCCACCCCAGAGGCCCTACCAGTTGTGGATGAGGCGAAAACCCCCAACGTGGGAACCATCCCTCGAGGAGCGGGCCCGGGCGGCTGACTGGCTCATGGAGAGCGGCAAAGACAGGGCGCTGGCCCTTCTTACAGGGAATGTAGGTCTGGGTGAGCGCGAGAGGCTGGCGACCCTGGGAGACCTCGTGATGGGAAGGACGTGCCAGCCTGAAGCATTCGAGGGTCGACAAGTGCAGTGTGCGAATGAAGAGGCGACGCCGTCCGCGCAGCGGCAGTTTGAGCTGTGGTCCAGAGCGTTTCGCAGGGGCCAGTTGTATCGCCTTGGGAAGTTTGTAGAGCTGGAGCTGGAGAGGGATGCGCATGCACGGGAATCAGGGAGGCCGTGCCCGCTGCGCGACCACCTGCCAATCAAGCTGAGGTCGGTGGAGTATGATCGCGTCATGGCAGTTCCGAAGTCGTCGGAGGGTGTGGACGGCCCAGACTTCAGGAGCATGAGAGGAGTCGTCATGCATCGAAATGGTAATTGGTGATCTTGCACAAGCCGTCCTTGGAGCAGCGTTTGAAATCGACACGTGGTGGTTCCTGCTTATCTAAGAGCTGGTAAAATTGAGGATAGAGTCGCAATTGTTTTACTCATGCACGATTATCTCTGCCGAATTCTGCACTTGATATACTGACGACGCATAGCAATTCTGATGGAACTGAATCAGGTTGGAGAAAACACTATTTCGATTCTGGTACGCTTGGCGTCAAAATGACGTAAAGTGTGTGTGGGTGTGTGGGTGGGTGGGCGGTGGGGTGGGGGGTGGGGGGTGGGGGGGTTGAGGGTGTCAAGGGCGTGACGCTGAGAAATTATGCAATTGTACGAAGTCAAAATAAGGCAAGGAGAGGTCCAGAACGCCTTGAAGTCATCAGCAAACGCTTACCAAAGTATGTGCAATGGGGCAAGTGGGGTTGGACGCGATTGCGGCATGCACAAGGGCAGCGACCACGGCACATGTTGTAGTTTCATGGCTGCCACAAATCGCTTTGGGGATCGCATGGGGCCAGCCACCATGGCCCACCAACCCACATCCAAGGGTTTGCCACACAAACGACGCTCTCGCCTCTGGCCCGCGTGCCAGGAGCATGCACTGGCTATGCCCCTCCCTGCTTTGACGCACAGCCCATCATGCACAGCACACCCAAGCGAAGGGTGTCCTCAAGTCGAAAGCACACACAGCCCCCCCCTCGGATCAGCAACAAGGTTTTGCTCAAAGTGCCTGTCTGTTGCTCGTCCAATATGGGCTTGCAAAGCAGGTTGTCGGTGGGGCAAAAGCCACAGTGCGCGACACTACCATCAGGGGGCTGCAAGGCTTCACTTGAATCCGATATCTTCGCCATCATCAAACAGAATGCGCATGAAAACAACCACACGCAGCTCAGATGTCCGCAAAGGCCGCCGGAGAGCGGCGCTGTCTTGGCACCGTATTTCGCGTTGCGCCATTTTTTGTGGCGCTATGGGGACGTTGTGTGGTGGCGACGATGGTGTTTTCTGGTGTTTTGCAATAATATTGCAATGTATATTGCAATGTATATTATACAATCGTTAAGGATTGCAGGAGGCGTCAAATATAAGGATTGGCGCTAAGAGGGGGAGGGCGGGTGGGTCTGGGCTTAACGTCAATTTGGCGCCAAGCGTACCAGAACCAAAATAATGTCTTCCCTTGGTCATCCTCAGCAATCCGTCATCATCAGATAGTGTGTTCCAGACGTTGGTGCTTGTGTCCAGACGCCAATGTCCTGTAAAGTCAAGGTCTCGAACACGTCAACCACAACGTTAATTTGGTGATGATAATTGAGATGCAACCCAGAGAAATTGAATGCATCCTTTGACCTATGTTAAGTGTCATATATGATTCTGGCGCATTGTTTCTCCATCATTAAAACTTTATTTTTCGTCAAATTTTGCCCGAAGTTGTGCTTATGAGTTTGAAGTATGCGGTCAAAAATCAGGTGAATCAGTTAAGGATTGCAGATTTGGCATCAGATCGCCGCAATGGTATTTTATCTAGTAAAACTCGAAATTTTCACTCAGAAGTGACCAAATTTTACCTTTCACCCAACGACCGAAAGGGTCGGTTTTTACTTTCAAGAAGAGATTTCTCTTCTTGAAAATTGGTACTTAAGTGTTTCAGTTAGGGATGTTTCTGTAACGAATGTTGTCATTCAAATAGACGGTGTATGATATGAGACAGAAGATGTATGACATCGCATTTGAGTTAAAACTTGGAGCAATGCCAGCGTGATGACATAGTTCTGAAGTTGTGACCAAATTGTAACGAAAACGCAACATGGTACTCATCCGCACAGTAAGAGAGACACAAGGGATAGGTTTCCAATTTTCGATAGAGTGTCGATGGAAGCATCTGACAGCCTTAAGATTTTCTGTAGTATGTGCGTGTCTTCACTACTGCTTCTGCTTCCTCCATCCCATATTAAATTGCAGTTATGATCTGTGGCCCTAGAAGACCCGCTAAAATACCTCAGAATTTCACCAAAATTTGTTACAATGTTTCAATTTAAGTTTAGTTTGTGCTCCTAAAATTTTGAATCAATCGATTAAATAATCAACCCGCAATGCTATGTTGAACAAACTCCACTTTTCTGGAAAGAACGCAATTTTTCAAGATAGCGCCGAAACAGGAGTTGGAGACGCGCTTTAGAGTGCAGTTTAGAGTGGAGATATACAGGCAGAGGGGCAGCCACCAATGCGTCCAGAAAGGGATGATTGAAGATCGTGCCCGTAGATTCGAGATTTTGTGCTGAACAATTGAGACCATCAGTAAGACATTCTGGAATGCAATCAACAATCCTGTGGGAGTAAACTTGTTCTACACCTGGAAAGGAAGTTGCAGACGTCCCAAGACATGACAAGAGCAATTTGCAACTGGAGTTGAAAGATCGCACCGCACAACCAGTGCACAATTCCCGGAATGGCGATGGCGGCAAGACAGACAAGATCTTCGATCATGCCTTTCAGGAAAAACTGGTGGCCTTCCCTCCGCTTTTGTAATTCTGCTCCAACTTGTAATCTGAAGCGCATCTTTCTAAGTCGCATAATTTGATGCGGTGGGGTGCACCACAAGGTGGCATGGTCCACAACCCGAAAACGGGTTACTTCAGAGCCACCCAAAAATGCTTGGCTGAGTGACGTATATTTAAGTTGACACTATGGATTGAATACTTAGCTGATTGACTCAAATATTTGTGAGCACAAATTAGACTCAATTAGAACATTGTGGCAGATTACTGTAAAAATCTAAGATCATTTGTTAGGTTTTCCAGGCCCACGGTTCATAATTGCAATTTAATTTGGGACAGAAGAAGTATATATGATTAAGAGCTCAAAGTCGAAATGACGTTCGTCCGTGTAGATGCCGTGCCAGTTTGGTTTCCTGGTTCATTAATTGATGCATTTACTGATGGAACCATTGTTTGAATAATTGATTGTTACACTTGCGGTTAACCCACCTGGTAGCCAGCCGCAAGTGTGGCAATCGATCAATCAACCAGTCGTGACCATAGTCATGTCTCTACCACAGGCAACTGCTGCGTCGGGCACACGCATCCCATTGTTGATGGCGTAACCCATTGCCGCGGTGGGGGCAATTGTCATTTGCGGAAAAGTGGCAAGCATGAACCCAACGAGGGAATGGAGAAGAGGAAGAGGGTGCGTGCGTACCAATGGCAGACGGAGGGCTGGGAATGCACGCAGCTCAGGAATTGCCCGGCTTCCACAATTTTTGTTTCACCTTCTGACCTTCTGGTCCCCAGAAGGCTAATAAAAAGGCGGGTGAAAGACACCTCCTTTGCACGGGTGGAGCTCATGCGCAGCACAAGAGTGCTTGTATGCACAATCCAGCCAGAGAACATGGCGACGCTGCACCCACACCAGGACAGAACATTGACCATCAGGGAGTATGCGCGGATCCAGGTGTGCACCAGTTCCTCGGGCCCTGCAGCCCATGCGGATGATTGAGGCCCTCCAACCCTTGCCGAATGGCCCAGGGCCAGACTTGCATGCAAAGGGGCCCTGTGCTTGTCTTCAGATGAGAATAGATCTGCTTTTTTAGGCCCCGATAAGACCTTCTGCACCTGTGTTTGCAGCTCGTCAGCCTTGAAGTGATGAGCCGCTGTTGTCGCAGTTATCAGAGGACCCAAGAGCACGTGCTATGTGACAATGTCACTGCAAGGACAGTTGTGCAACGATGCACCATTCCGACACTGATGGAAGCAAGCTGCGGTTGCGCTCATGCAGCGCAGCCGCTGTGCATGGAATCAAGTGAATTGTGTCCTGTAGGGTTTGCGACTATTCAGCTGGTGGTGGACCTGTTGTTTCCAATGTCATGCGAACCGTCATCTCAAGAGGCCCAATTCGAACTTCATGTGCGATGACTGGGGCTAATTGTCCCTGTCTTTCCCTGTACAGGGCTTCCCAGACTATTACATCTTTGTAGGCCGGCACAACGAGAAGAAGAACAGTACACCGTTGCTGCAGAGTGCCAGCGCTCGCAGCCGCTTCAAGCAGATTGGGAATTCTGTGGTGCCCCCTGTGGCATCTGCCTTGGGTGGGTAATTCAATTGAATGACTACGTTGTAATGGCGTAGTTTAAATGATGCGGATTCTAGCTATTGCTGCGTGTGCACTTTGAAAGGATAGGAATGACATTTGTTCATTCATTGACTTGCCGCGATGGTCCGAGTTGGCTAGCACCGCATTACAAACAGCCATAGGCCAATCAAGCAATTATTGGCTTCCACGAGAGCGGTCAGCGATCGACTGTATTGACGAAGGCAGGCATGGTCGAGAGGTGGCGACCCCTGAACGGCGACCGTAGGCTCGAGTCCACGGCAACTGTTTACAGCCGAGCAAAGGGCCATCAGTAGAGTGATATCCAGTTCGTTGACCAACATCTTTGATGCAATTCTTAATGCCTCATCACCTCTTTATGCACCCAGTTGTTAATAATACTCGATCAACTCTAGCTACAACAGCGTCAGGCCCAAACAACCTTCCACGCAAGCTAGCTTGAAGTGAGGCGTGCTCAACGTAGATAAGCATAGCTCATTGGGCCCTGTCTTCGTCTCTGTTGAGAAATGGGTTGTCGCTTTGCCCAGGGCGGTGCCTCCTGCTGGCTGCTGCTGGTCGCAGCGATCCCACGGCACCCATCGCGGACGTGCTTGACCCGGAGCTGGGGCAGACCATGGCCGATGCCAAGGCCAAGCGCCTTATGTTCTGCATGGAGGAGCTGGCTGCCCGGGCCTCGCCTCGCCGCCACAACCGCCGCCGCCGCCAACGGGTCGATAGTGGCAGCGACGGAAGCGCAGATTCTGAGTCGCTGAGCACATCCTCCGTGGAGCCAGAGCAGGGAGGCTCAGACAGGCTTTCAGATATGGAGCAGGTTATTTGCATATCGGATTCGGATTCGACAGAGGTCATTTGCATTTCGGTTTCAGAGCCAGACGGTGACGCTGTGGACGTTCCCTAGCGTGGCAAAGCCCCCAACAAGAAGCACCCACTAGGGGGTTTGCCGGGAATGGTCGTGGAATGTGGGATCCAGCGACCGGCACACACCGGCAAATTTGGAGGTGATGGCCGCCGTGTTTGGACAATATGCATGGCGGCTTATGCCCGACGTCCCCTTACAGGTTTTCAGGCTTTGTTTGTCTCTTCAAGACAGATGTAGTAGACAGGATTCACACCAGGCATGTCTAAGACTTGCCGCCTCACCAGCGCTGGCGATCCCATGAGGTGCAGATAGTTCAAGGAGAACTGACCCAGGGACCGCAATTTCACTGATCGCGTTTTCCAAATTACATAAAAGTGTTGGGCCTTGCATCTTGAGGGCCATGAAGGCGTACAATGTAGGCAGTCAGATACTTGGCCTGGGGCCAGCATGCACCGATGGTGCGCCCATGCTGCATGTACCGCCATAGCATGAATCCCATGATGATTGACGTCCACAACAGCGACCACGCATGTGTGTGCCTCCAACGCCACCCGTCGCCTCTCAGCGCCGCAGCAGACGATGGCCGCCGATGTGCTGGGTTCAAGATCCTGCCACTGCTCCAGCTTGGCCTTCACGTGACCCTGTCTTCACAGCATTTTGCCGGTCAAGGCACCCCACTCCAGGGACAATAGACTCAGCAGCATCGGGCCAAACACGTGACTGATAGTCTTCTGGAGCCTCGCAGCTGGAGGCGCCATGTGTGACCAACAGTTCCAGATAGTATGTTCCTGGGACCCAACGGGAGTGCTTGGTCCGCTGGCTGCTGAGCACGCCACGGAGTTTCCAAGAGCCCCTACAAGCAATTGGGATGAACGTTGTTTTGCGGCGCTTGTTAGCGGTGTTGTAGCCACAATAGTTCAGGCGCCCGGGCATTCGTTGTTTGAGCTGCTGCTGTCGGATTTGTAATCGATTCAATAGGATTGCGAAGTGGGGTGAACTGTCTGGAATGGCATGTCTCGGGTCCAGCGGGTCTCGCAGTGCCTGTCGTTTCCTTCCTCGAGGTTCTGCACTTTTGGTGACAAGGAGCCCACCCAGCGCCACTTCATGAGCTTGCTGGTCATCTGCCCCCCGCAATACCCCAGGCACAAGCGGTGCCAACGTGTCTTCGCAGCAGTCTAAGCCACTGCTGCCCGAGCACTCATGGAATTCAAAAAGAACCACGGCTGGCACAGCACAGGTTCGATTGCAAAGCATTGTGCTGTGTGCCACAACCCCAATATGCTGCATTCGCCTGCCTAGTTTCTCTTGTCAAAAGTCGAATGGGAATCACAGAACTCGTGTCCCCCTGCGTCGCATGTTCACACCAACAACGCATAAAAAAATGTGTTCAAAGAATGCGGAATGGCAGGGAGAGCAGGCTGCTAGCCCACTCCCCCACGTCCAGGCCATGGAATCACTGTCATGTGACCCAATGCAACTGATCGCAGCAATCCCCAAAAATGTTCCTATGGTGCAAATTGCCGCTCTGCCTATCGACACCTACACACCAGCTCAAGCACAGGATTGCGTGCCCCTCTCTACCCCCCATTCCCCCCCGTCAGCTCGTTGCCGTCACAACAGCAGCTTCGTGTAAAATTATGCCACCTGCCGTCAGCTGGACTGCCTCCATCCCTGCCAACTCCGACGACATGTCACGACAGCCCTGCCGACACCGCCCCACGATTCCTTCCACCCAGCACGTCCTCGATCTCCTTTGAGGTCAGCGTCTCCCTTTCAACCAACGCCTTCGACAGGGTATGCAAGTCGCTCATCTTGTCAGCCAGCAGCTTCATCACACGCTGGTGTGCCTCCTTCAGTATCCTCGTCACCTCTGCGTCTATCTTCTTCTGCACCTCCCCGCTCAGCTCGCCCCGCCTGTTGGCGAAGATGGGCCCCACCTCCTCGCTCATGCCACACTGCATCACCATGTGCTCGGCGGTGGCGGTGGCCTGGTGTAGGTCCGAGGACGCGCCTGTGGTCACGTGGTCCTTGCCAAAAACGAGCTCCTCGGCCACCTTGCCCCCCATGCAGACGTCAATGCGGGCCATCAGCTGCTGCCGGCTGACAGAAAACTCGTCCCGGCCGGGCGTCTGGGTGACCATCCCCAAAGCATTGCCTCGAGCGACGATCGTTGCCTTGTGCAGGGGATTGGCACCGGGCGTGTTCAGCGCAACCAGCGCATGGCCAGACTCGTGGTATGCAGTCCGCTTCATGTTCTCGTCTGTCCGCACCAGCGACTTCCTCTCTGTGCCCATCAGGATCTTGTCCCGTGCAACATCCAAAAGTTGCTTCGTAACCAAGGGCTCATTGGCCTTGGCTGCCTGCAAGGCAGACTCGTTGACCAAATTGTACAACTCTGCGCCACTGAATCCCCGCGTTTGCTGCGCCAGTTCGGCCACGTCCACATCGGGTGCCACGGGCTTGTTGTTGAGATAGAACTGTAGGATTTCTTCTCGTCCACGAATGTCTGGCAGTGGCACCGTCACATGCCGATCAAACCTTCCTGCCCTCGTCAATGCCGGATCCAAGGTATCCACAAGATTGGTTGCTGCCATCACGATGATACCCTCGTTTACTTCGAAGCCATCCATTTCTGTCAGCAGTTGGTTCAGTGTCTTGCGCGTCTGGTTCTCCCAGTGCTTCCTGCTGGCCCCGATGGCATCGATCTCATCGATGAAGACGATGCAGGGGGCGTTTTTCTTGGCGGCATTGAAAAGGGCGCGGACTCTTCTGGAGCCCACTCCAACAAACATCTCTTCAAACTCGCTGCCCGCCCTGCACAGCAAGTGGTATGGCCATGGTGAGTGAGAAGCAGGTATACTTACAGTGAGATGCTGATGTGCATTACCAACAGACTGTGGAAGGCCCAGGCACAGAGGGACCCATGCCTCACCACACATTAAAAAGCAGTCGTGCAGTATGAAGCGAAGGCATGTTAGGAAAGGAAAACTGGGCCCACTGATCTTGGGATACAGATGCAAGGGGGGATTGTAGATATGGGGGTGATGAACTGAAATTGGGCAGTGCTATCATGCATTTTTCCAGCTCTGAGCTGGAAAATTGGAGTCCTCAGTCAGGACTCCTTGATTCAGCAACTATTAATGTGCAACAATAAACACATACATTACCATTGGCTTCACAACGATAAACAGTCAACTTTAATTACATCACGAAACATTAGATGTCAGATGTAGAACTACTGAGTGTCTTGATGTTTATTAGCCTGCAACCATCAATACAGGCGGATTGCTGCATGAAGAACACAATGGCAAGAGATTGGAGGCGACATTCAGTCACAGACGGCAGCAGTTCAACTGCCCAAAGCTGCATGCATGCATGGAAACGTAGGCACAAGCATGTGGATCCAAATTTGTCACAACAAGCACTGAAGCCAGGGCACATGCACTTCACCTGTAGAAGAAAGGCACACCCGCTTCGCCTGCAACTGCTCTTGCCAGCAGCGTCTTTCCCGTGCCTGGAAGGCCCTCCAGCAGTACTCCCTTTGGAAGAGTGGCACCCATTCGGGTAAACCTCTCTGGGTTCTTCAGGAACTCGACAATGTCCTGTAATTCCTCTTTCGACTCTGGACAACCCTGCACAAGCAAGATGGGAATTCCGTCCCTCATTATGTGCTTTTAACTGGCTGTGCTGATTTATCTTTCTGCAACCACATCAGGGCTGCATAACTTCAGTTCAGATTGACAACACCATCAACTGTTTTGGAGGCAGCAGTTTTGGTACATAACCAGCTGTTGTTCATCTGTCCATTTCATCCAGTCCCACAGATGTTCCTCCCTGTGGCTGAGATTCATGTCACAAACACTTTCACCTAGGTGCACAAAGCCCAGCTGCGGGACTGCCATGGCTGGGACACGACCCATCCTGGCAACACATTGCAGGCCAGTAGTGAAACCATAGTACATCCCATAAACAAGATGTTGCCATGATACAGGTGAGATGGAATCCCCACAAGCTTATCAATGGCAAAAATGCAGGCACATTCTCCCTTTCGTACGGTTTGATAGCACCATTTTGATACAATTCAGTGCCAATCTTTTATGCAGTTCGATAGACACTGTCATCTCTACAAACCACCACTCCCCCCCCCAGCCAGCGGCACCACATGCTATGCAGCGATCAACAAGACATCACCCTGTTGATCATAGCATATCCACACTTCCAAACTCCAATGCACCTTGACATCGTTGAAAGTCTTCAAAGACTTTTCAGGGACTTCCTCCTTCACAAACTGCTTGGGAGCCAGGGATGGCGATTTGTCCCGCACAGACGCTGGGAGGCCTCCTTGGGGAAGGTTCTGCACACTGACTCGCTTCACCACTCCGCTTCCCAGCAGCCACAGGAAGCAGAACACGGCCAGGAGCCCAAGCCATTTGAAGAAGCCGAGGAAGAGAGACACTATGCCGGGTGCAGGCTGCGCCGCCATCCCCTCCAAACTCACATACAGCGGCTGCCTTGCTGAGCCTCCCGGAGTGAGGTCCAGGTCCCCTCCACCAGACAGCACCTGACAGTGACAAATCGAAACTGTTCACCACAGTTCAACAGCACATATTGGAGATCACATTTCTGATTGCGCAGAGGCCACGATGCTGAATGCTGTGATCAACGTCCAACATGCTTGATGTCAACACATTTCAGGAGCTTGGGGGTGGGTTGGGGGAATGGGGCGTTGTCGTTCTGGTGTTCTCTGGTTGTCCTCCCTGCTGAGGAGGGGGTGCCAACCAACAGTGGCTGTTACCCACCTAAGATACCAAGGCCCCTGCTGCACTTGTCATGGGTGACTTCATAGACAACAGCCCATATTTCATCCACTCACAAAGCCCCCTGGGTCCCTGGCAACCTTGGGGCCAGGGATGGAAGCGTAGGGGTGGGATTGGGAGGCCTGCAGGTGTGCATCCACTCTCCGTTTTGACCATCACAAACTTGCCTTTGTGTAGCATCCCTCTTCAACACAAGGGAAGAGAACTGCAGGTCCTCTTGCCACAGTGCAATGCGGTGCTCGACGAAACAAGACCTGGAAAAGATTGAACCAACAGTGCCGCACGCGGCACTGCGGCTGATTGTCCATCCGATTGGGAGGATTCGAAGAGCCCGCATGGGACAGAAACCGTGGGGCCCCTCACCTGGAGGTCCTTCAGCAGCTTGGGCAGCGACCTGTGCCCGTCGGCGCCGCCCGGGCCCCCCTCCCCGTCGTACTCGTCCACCCTCCCCGTGCGCACCAGCGCCCTCAAGTACTCCACCACCACTGCCGCGCTCCCCGCACACGCCCCCGACTCCACCCTCCGCAGCACCTCCTCCGGGCTGACCTGGTTCAACTGCACCAGCAGACGCGCGTGCTTGGCCGCGTCGCCTGGATTAGCGTCGCTCTCCGCCCGCAGCCTCCTCAAGTGGCGCTGCCGTTGCCACGCGGGAAGTTTCCGCATCCACTCCAACAACACGCCCAACGCCGCCACCAGCCGGTTGCGCAGCCCCGTCAGGGCCGCTGCCGGGGTCATGCCCCCCGAACGCTCGCCTTCGGGATCGCCGGCGATCGCCGACGGCCTGGCGGGAGCGGTGCGATCAATCGGGGTCTCTTTCTCGACGCCAGCTGACGGACCATCAATGGGCCCGAAGGTGCCTGACGAGCTTTCGCCCTCCCCTGATGCGGCCTCGAACACCGATAGCGCCCTCACGTCGCGGATGGGGGGGACCGCGCCCCCCGGACGGCGCTTCGTGGCTCCGCGAGGGCCGCATGCGCCAACAGATGCGCCAATCCTGAAGCGGCGGAGGATGGAGATTGGCGCGAGTCGAGTCCTCGGGCGCGAGTCGAATCTTCTCCTGGACCGCCGGCGGAGGGCGCCGCAGCCGTCCACGTTGATGAACCGCCCCGCGCGGGAGGCGCGACTCGAGGTGGCCTTCAGGGGCGACGCCCGCGCCATGGGACCTGCCCGGCCGCATGGCGAGGGTCCCCCCGGCATGGCCCGCAGCTGACGCCGCCCGAATGGGTTCGCCGATTGGAGGGGCGACGGGGACGGTGTTCGCAGGGTGAGCGGCGGGGGGCCTTGTGCTGTGCCGCGCGGCAGCGAGCGTCAGCGCCGCGGAAGTCCAGAAGCTGAATGCGCGGAAGGGGTGCGAAGAACAGCGAGGATTTGATGCCAACGGCTGGAAACAGCGTGCACCTAAGGCGCGGGTGGGAGGGGAGAGGGAGGTTGGGTGGCCGCGCAGGCGCCGGCGCGCTCACCTGTCAGAGAACCCGGCGTCGGGAGGTGGGATCGATGGTCGCGGCTGGTGATGACCGAGGGAATGAGGGAGGCGCGACCCGGCCAAGCCCCGCGCGGGGCGCGCGGCCCGGCGGCCGAGTGCTTGCGCGCTCCCGGAGGCCGCCGCTGAGGTCGCCCTGCCTGAGGAGGAGGCTTCCTGAAGTGTGCCGCTCCGGAGGCGCGCGGCGCGCAGGCTGAGGAGCAGGGCGCTGAAGTGGGCGGTCTTACTGGCCGAGGGAGGCTGGCGGCTAAAGTACGAGGAGTGGCACTTGCGAGTGCGCCGTCGGGTAGTACAGTGTCGGCGCAAGAGGTTGAGATTCCATGCAGTTGTGGTCATGCTTCCCAGCCAGCTGGTCGGGTGAGTTGCAGAAATTACTTGGGTTCTCATTAGATGAATCAAGGACACTGATCTGGTCGGGCGAAATAGGGAGTTGATGGCTACATCCATGCCATAATAATTGCTGATGCCCATATTCGGAATTCACATATGTGTGGTTCATTCTGTCGTGGGCATGCGCAGTGGCGATGTACGCGACAGGGGACTTTTACTGACGACGTTCTTAGGTCCTGAGTCCAAGCGATGTCGACACTGCTATACAGCTTCCACGATTCTTTTGTAAATCGCATGTGCGAGATGTGCAGCGAACGGCTGGGGGAGAAGATTCAGGGACAAACTTGGAAGACATCAAATCGTGCTGCCTCAAGAATTGGGAATCGCAATCAGGGAGAAGGACTGTCTTTGTGAACGTGTCGCTTGAGACACCTTTTGAGAGGTCGAGGGAACGGACGCCATTGTACTCAATACATTGACATCACATCACCTGACGGTTTTCGACTACACCCTTCCGGCCACCTCAAGGCTGCGATCGCGATGACCATGCCAGACAGCAATGATGCCCTGGCGTACTTTGGCACTGCGCCGAGTTGCCCCAGGGGCGCCGCTACATCACCGTCGCCGCCTTCGTACATTGGCTGGCTTGATACAGGCCGTTTGCAGACAGCCGTGATTCCCTTGAAGGTGCAAAGGCTGCTTTTTTTTCACAAATCGAACTCCAATCGAAGGATTTCACTTCAAGCCCAACGCACACTTCTGTGTCCAGCACATTGCTTTGTGCGCACATCAGGCACGCGCATGTGTACAATCAACCTGCCAGATCAACAACAGCGTCCCGCTTCACCAGTGCCCCCTTCCAACTACATCTACAACTCCGTTCACAAAAGTGTCCTCTTCTCTGACGTTTCATCATTTACACTCTTTCCTTCTGTTCGCACCACACCTATGGTACACCCCCGCTCCCTCAAACTGGAAGAGCAGCACACCCTGCGCCCCACACTGTCCAACCAGTTCCGTCAAAACTAATGCCCCGCTGGTCATTCCAACGTGAGCCACAGGGGCAGCCAAACAGTCAAAGTTGTCATGAGAAGACGACCTCTTCTTCTCCTTCTGCCGCTGGCGTGGCTCCTCCTTGAGATGTAGGCGCCATATCCCCAGACAAGTACTCTGAGATCTCTTTGGCGAAAGCGTACGCGAATTCCACACACTTCCCCAGTGCCACACCGGCCACATAGTTGCCCCCAAGCCTGACTCCCTGCCAGCCAGCCTCATCCATGTCCGCCCTCGCCGCCTCAAGGGTTTCAAGGTGCTCCAGGTTGAACTGTGGGATGGCCTTCGGCCACACTCGAACTCCCAGCACCTTCAGGAGTAAATTGGAGAATCAGCAAACACAAAAATAGCCACAAGCATGGCAAACTGACTTCATTCTACAGATAGTGTTCGCCAGAAGGCAACATACATGGTCCACAGGGTGACAGGGGAGTTTGTCCCTTACCTCCTTTCCAGTATTTTGGGATTTCTTTCAGGTGTTGATACAGAAGTTCTCAGGGACCACCTGTGGGTGGAATCCAGTAGAAATCACCCTACAAGTGCAGGGGCAATAATGCACTCCCTCGACCGTTTCTCTGCACATATTGTTACGAGCACCTTGGGCTGTGGGGCGTCAGGCTTGAGCAGCATCGTCCGCAGGTCCTTGTCCACCTGCTGGACTAGCTCGTCCTCACTCTGATCCAGGATGCCTCGATTGGTTGCACCGCCGATGTAGTTAAGCAGCAGGATGGTGCCATCGGGGGCGCGGTTGGGGAACAATGAGGAGCTGTAGATGGTGCCCAGCGTGACGACGCCCTGCAGAACATGGGGCACTCCTTCACAATGGTGCAACATTGAACTGGCAACGGAACGAAACTCTTGGCCATCATCAGAAAGTTTTGATCAAGAACAAGGGAGCCATCCTCCAGCCATCGCACACAACTGTTGCGTTGAATGCCAGAAAACCCGTTCACATACAGAAGAAAAATCCAGCACGTTTTGGCTCTTCTTGTTTCTCCTTTGTTCATTTTCTGTCCACCACATTGTCAACGTGCAGTGTGGTTGCGCTGCACACAACACCACAGGATCCTGCCCCAATAACCAATTAATCAACTGATACAGTGACTAATTATGCTGTTCAGTGGGTTTGCACCGTGCAGTGCTACATTATATGCATTCTTCCGCTCCTTCTTTTGTGAGTCGACTTACTGACATGCATGCTCTCAGCATGCTTGAGACGGACATTGCCTGAGATGCACAATATGCTCTTGAACCTGAGTCTTACAGTCGCCATGACCTTTGTTGTTGATGCATCAATTTAAGGAAGCTTGAATGATTGATGATGCTTTCAGCATCACATACCGTGGGATCATAGTACCTGTGACCTTGGGTGCAGCTGCCCAAAGCCTGGAAAGTTGCCATCATCGTCCAGCCGGTCGTCCCTGAGGGCAGATTCTGGATAGGCGATTGTCACAGCAGCGACTGGGGGATAGTCGAAACCGATCAGCGCATCGAACGCCTCTGCCTGTGGAACAAGCAGCCACATGCAGTCCACTGTTCAGCATTGGCGGTTTGGCAATCAAATCCATCTGGGGCTGCCGTTGGGGCATTCCTGTCACACTACAAACATAGTTAATCAATGTATACACACTATGGCAAAGTTAATAAGCATCTTGATCGTGAAACAGCACCATACAACTTTACCCATTCTGGCGATGGACATCAATGTATGCTTTTTCTGATGCATTTGGAGATGCCTGCCTCAACTTTACTGAGAAGAGAATCTTTGCATTCCACAAGAGTCCACATGGAGCAACGTGAGGTCAAGTCAGACACTGCATCAGCGTCACAAAATATCAAATCAAGAAACTTACACATTGGCACGTCTGGCCCCTTGGCATTTATCGGTTCTACAGCCATCAAGATGCAATAAAGGTACTATCACTTGTATAGCGGGTTCAATAGTTTGAAACATCTCCCTCACATTCCGTGGACATTTTTTGCAGAATTGATCTGCATGGGGAGCTGTTAAGGCTTGTCTTCCAAAAACACTATTGCGCTTGATAATAACAAAAGGATACCAAGACCATGTGCTATCTACCACTGAATTTGCGGCGGGCACCTCAAAAGACCCAGACAAAGAGTCAATGCCACATTATTTGCGCAGAGAATCAAACGCAAGAGACGTTGGGTCCAACAATCGACATGTAGCTCACAGCATTGTGAATTGTTCCATTGTATTGCAACTGGCAAGAACATGATCGTAAGTTTGTTGGTCATCTGGTCAAATACACAAACAAATTCACAAGTCACGCTGCGATCACATGATCGTACGGCAAACATGCTGACAGCAAAACCATTCAGTTACATGAAGCCAGCAGCGACAACCAGGATGGTCAAACCACAACAACCAGTATTCCCACCACTGACACTCTTCGAAACTTGTTGTAACGGAAGTCACTTACACACTCTCTTCGAAGGAGGTGGGCTGCAATGTATGAAGGGACTGTCAAAGCCACACATCTGGCCTTGACCTTGACTTCTCCCTCTGGCGTTTCGTACTGCAAGCTGAACGTTCCATTGGTCTCCTTGAAGATCTCTGCAAGTTTCCAATTGCACCTGCAGAAGGGGTGACCTGCCCAACCATCAGCGGCCGATGCCACAGACATGAAAGAACAAGGGGAGAATACCAATGACTAGCATCGGCTAGTAAGTGTGATGGCGTTGGTTTGTACTGCATTGACAATGGTTATCGACAGAATTCGAACACAGACAAATTGAGGAAAGGCTGCAAAAGGGAAACTGGTTTGTGTGGAAACTCGGCTGCAAGAGACATCCTCCTTAGAAGGGTATCCGAACTCAAATGTTGACCATGACTCTCCCATCGCCACCAACACAATGAATACCGCAAGCACAAGAAAGGATGTGAATCCATTAACATCATGCTTTCAGTTGCATTCCATTCAAACAACTGGCATCTTCATCCTAAACTAAAGTGACATGCCCCACTTTGATCATGTTGCTAAATATGTCTGTGAACAGTGTGGGGATAAACTGTTGATCGACTGGACCTGGACCGCCTTCAGTTGAAGTGGCAGGACAATGCTTCTGTTTTCAGAATGGGCAAACCTAAAGGAACAAGGAACAGATGGAGTGGTGCCAAAGCAACTGACACAAACAGAAATGTTTTCTTTGGGGTATCAGCCCCTCAGAACCCACCCAACCACCCACCCAACCCCCGTTCAGGAATTTCAAGACACACGAGTTGCAAGCAAGCAATTTGGTTGTACAGCTCCCATACAGATATCAAGATCCTCAGGCGCTTTCGTGGCCAGCAAAGGCACATGCGAGCAACAAAACTCAATCCCACCTGATGTCTTCTGACAAATTCCTTGCAATCGCCTCAGGAAGCGTTTTCAACCCCCTCTGGTAGGACCCAACTGTCTGGCCAGGTGGCTTTGGAGGCAGCCGGGGATCACGCGGCGGCGGAGGGTCGGCCTGCCTCTTCTGGAAGAGCTTGATCGCCCCTCCGACCAATGACCCTCCCATTTCCTCAAGAGCATGGATCTGTTGTCAAAGAAAGCCAATGAGTTCAGGTTTCGTATTTATTGCTGTTTGCATGCAGAACAGAAATAGCAATGTGCCCTGCAGTGCACTGCATGTGCATGCACCCTTACTTTTCCACAGCAAGGGCAAGGAAGATCGTCACCTTTCCAAAAGCGGCCTTCATGCTAAGCTTTGAGGGGTCGCCGGCATACACACCAGAGCAGAAGGGTTCTATCAACCTCTCAAACACCTCATCCCCAAGGTTTCTCCGAATGAACTCCTCAACGCTCTCTTCGACGTTTTCTGTTGAAGTACAAGGTCGCCAGTCAAGACTTGTGGAAGTGCAAAAGCTGCACTTCAAACAAATATCATGCAAGTGAAAACAGTCAATTTTCAGCAACACTAACAAGCCATTGCTGTACTTTATGCAGAACTCAGTGCACAAAAGCCAGAAGCCTGAAACCAACAGCTTTTCTTGCGCTTGAACCTGAATCGGAGCTGTTTAATGCAGAGACTGGAATCTAAGTACTGTGCAAGCTCCACCAGATACTATCCACACCATCATTGGCCTGCGCACAAAGGGAATTGTTTTCCAACTAGATGACAATTGCTCCCAAATACTAGGTTATTTGAAGTCCAAGAGTCCGCAAAAGATTTATTGCTCAGTTGTTGCATCTCGCAATGAAATTTATCGATCAAATAGCCGCGAGAGCACAGCACACAATTCCACAAACTCCCAATTCCCACATTAAGCCGGAAGCGTCCTTGTGTTCTTGAATGCTTGAACGTGCTCAACAACCTCTTGCCAGTTTCATGGAATGCAGTTCCTTTTTTATCCAGTGCATCACTGACAGCAGGTTGACATCATATTCACAAACCTGGCATCGGGGGCTTCAGTCCAATGGCCCCAAGCCCTGCTCTGATCTTGCCCCATATGCTGAGCAAGTCGAAAGTCAGGACGTCTGGGCCTGATGGGGTGGGCCTGAGCTTGTTTTCCCAAAACACGAAACGTGGTGCTTTGGAGTCGCCAAAAACCATATCCTCCTGCACCCCAACGTCTACCTGCAATGCAGCATGCCAAAAAGGTCAGGCCAAATGTGTTATTTTCACACGACTCTCACGCACAATATTAATCTGAAGGCAGCAAGTGACATGGAAATCTAATTCTTGGAATTGCATTTTTTGAACAATACAACGCAAAGCCTCGCTCCAACTCTGGCGGTGACAGTTGCATAGTATCACCAGGGCACGTCATCTGGTGCCCTCCAGCACTTGTTCAGGGAAAAGGCATAGATAAGAAAGGACAACACATATATCAATTTGTATGCCACACAAAAGGGCTGCCATGTATGGGACACGTGGTCCATTGCACACTGGATCTACAATCACTGTGGCTGCATTTTTGGCTGTTCCTCCTTGGTGTGCCTTCCAGGAATGGTGTGATATTGAGCCAGCACATCCTAAGTTTTCCACGCTTCCAATGAATTTCATTGGCAAGAGATGCTTTGATGCCAACCGTTCTTTGCATGGGATGGGCTGTTCATGACTGCAATTGAAACTGCACAGATAACCAACCAAATCCTCTGCACTGCTGTTCCAAAATGGAGGCAGACAATTGTCCTATTCAGGGGATAAGACACTGGTTGTGAAGTCGATTCACAATGCTGGGACGATTAACAACACCATTCAGCCAGAAACGTGAGTGCATTGTGATCAATAATGGCAACAGTTGATGCTACAATTTGCCCTGGTGTGTTCTTTTCGAATTGCTGTATATTTGGCAGCATATTAACGCTGCCCTGCCAGCAAAGCAAGCTCAAATGGGAATGCCAAAGCAATCTGTGACTTGGGGCCCAACAAATCTCAGGCTTGCCGGTTTTGGGGCGTGCACTGCACATGCATGCTGCCCCACTGTGACTGGACGCGCTCAAACCCGCCCACAACCAACCCTGCCGCAGAAAGCGCCAATTGCAACCCTCTCCCAGGCTTCAAATCAGTGAAGCCCATCTCAAGCACAGCGTCGCCCAGTTCAAAGAGTTCAGCGCCAGGGACATGTCGCCGGAAATTGACAGCGAGCGGCTCCAGATCTTGGCCCAACCCCCTCTAGGCCATCAATCGAAAACCGCAATCCCCTGCCACCCAGTCCCGCTCCCCACTTCCCCAAACCCAACAGGGAGAGCCACATCTCCCCCACCGGCCCCAACAGCGGCGCGCTCGCCACGCACCGATATGCGCAGCATGTCGTCGTTGGGCGTGAAGCTGTTGGGCCCCTCCTCCCACAGGAAGCCCTGCCCGTCCTCCACCGTGGTGATGTTCCCGCCCACGCGCCCGCGCGCCTCCGTGAGCAGCAGCCTGGGCGCCGTGTCGGCGTGCGATGACCGCAGCGCCTGAGCGGTGCACAGGCCCGAGATGCCACCGCCCACCACCACGACGTCGTACTCGCCGCCGTCCGCCGCGGCCACCACGTGGATCGCGCGACAGCGGCCGCGTGGCCATCGCGACGCGATCGGGGCGATGCGAGCTGGTGTGAAGATGCAGCCCGCGGCGCGGCGGGGGATGGGCGCCGGCCGCGTGGGGAGTGGCCCCGAGACGGGCATCTTGGCGGCGGGCTCCTCGGGAATGGTTTGGAGAGAGGCCGTCTCGAAAGAAAGGGGGGGATTTTGGGTGGGCGCGATCTGGGAAGGGGTTGGGCAATTGGTGAGGATCTCGGAGTCGGTGGGCGCGGGCTCCGGCGGGGAGCCGGGAGGGATGGGACTTGGCGCTGCGGAGGGGGGGTTACGGCAGGCATGACTAGCTTGTTTGCTCAGCGTAGCCGTGACAAAGCAGGCAAGGTGGAGCGCGGCATGAAACTAGTCGCTCTGTCTTTTCCGTGAAGATCCCTTCCTGCTTCGGACACCCTAAACCCTAGTACATGAGTATAAGAGTGTACATGGGTAGTACATAGTATATGAGTATATATGAGTATATATGAGTAGTACATGCGTGTATGACATTCAGAGTTCTTTTGTTGCCAGTTTCCATTCAAAGCTCATGGAGCCTATTTACATCTGTACCAATGATATTGAATCTGGTGCCAAACTGCCTCCTTACCAAGTAGAACTGAAACTAGCACCAAATAATATTGAATCTGGTAACAAACTGGTGACATACCAAATAAAATTGAAACAAAGGCCAAACATTACTGAATCTGGTACCAAATTCTCGCTGGTGCCAAAAATGTTGAACAATGTACCAAACAATGTTGAATCATTACCAATCAGTCATAGAATGGCAGTCTGCGACCAGCCCTGCGACCAGCATTGGGCTTGCACTTGGTTTAGGGTTTAGCGTTTATGAACCTTTATGGCGGCGGCGATTTGATGACTAATTGGCACTGGTTCAATAATTTTTTGGTATACCGTTCAACATTTTTGGCGCCGGCGCGAATTTGGTGCCAGATTCAACATGCGTTGGTACCGAGTTAAATACACGCGAAAGGCCATTGACTCGGTGAACTGGTTGCGCTGTTGACATTCATTCCGCGACAATTTGCTCAGCACGCCTGCTGATTGCTGTGTCCATTGCCAACGTCGCCGCTTCCACGGCTGCGCAGCACCGCCGCGGGAGTTTCAGCCCGCTATGCGACCCAGAGAAGCCTTTCCCCGTTTCGCTCGAACCACGTTTGGATCGGAAGCCCCAGCTGGAGTCGGATTGGTCTTAATCGACGCGAGGAACCCCGCACCGCATTCGAGCAATCTCGGCGTGTGATTGTCACACACCCGCGCTGCGGTCGCGATGGCGGAGGTCTACAACCCCACCCCGTGCTCGCGCTGAAGCACGCCCGTCGGCCCAGGCCGACAGCTCAGATCTCCGCAGTAACCCCATCAAGTCACTCGTGGGCCCGGGGGCCTGAGAGCCTCGCTCTGTGGGGGCGATGATTGCCCAACATGCCGCCATCAACACGCCGGCAAACAGTGTTTCAGGGAAATGGAAATGCTCCGCGGCCAGGCGGGAGACCACTCGGGGGGCTGCAACTTCGACCGTCGGGTTTTGGGGCGCGAGGCATCGCCGTTCCTGCCGTGGGTTGATCCATACGCATTTTCCTTGCAACGTTTCGGCTCGCGTCTCCTCGCGCAACCCGCCTCATACCTACCCATTGCTGGAGCCTGGCGGACATCACTGCAAGACAATTTGCCCCAGTTCGCAGGCCAGCCCCGCGCAGTACGGCCATCGCATTCATCCCGGGATTGCTGCCCATTCCGCCACCTGCACCAAAAGCCCGAATATGATCGATCACATTCCGCGCCGCCGCCGCCGCGCCTATCACTAACGCAACACAAACTCCGCAGCCGGGGCGCAGTTTGGCGATGCCCCTGCCCGTGGTCACCCACCAACATCGCCATCGCACCTATCCCACCCCGCGTTGGCTTCTGAGACCGCCGCAAAGACGCGGGATCGCGGGGGGAAATGCGTGGCCCAGGCGCAAGCGGGCACTGGCGATCGCACTCGCAGGCCACCCTCCAGCAGCGAGCCCGCCCCGCCAAAGCGGGGAGGCAAACCCACAGCACCCGAGTCGGAACGGCCCGCTCCTCACGTAACCCCGTGTCGTGGGCGTACGTTAAATCCGACCCCACCTGTGGATGCAACGCAACACGCTCCACTGTGCGTTATGGAAGTTATACGATGCATCAGCGTTCAACGTTGATGCATGTCGCGCGACCTAGCATGTCCAAATAACTTAGGCACTCAAGGACAGTGCAATGGGATGCAGCACCGTCTTGGGCACATGAATTAGGTGGCCAGCATTGAATCAATCGGAAGCTCTCTACGCTGAATGAGTGAAGGTGGAATCTGACGGGTGCAAGCAAGATTCGATCCACAGGTACCCTGGATAGCCTGGAAGGGGTACCGCAGGTCATGTGCTCTGGTAGGGTCGCTCATGTCGGCGTGAGCAACAAGCACCACTTGAACATCGTCTGGCGGAGACTTGGTGCATTGGAACGTGATTAGAGGTGGGCTGATCTGCATATGCCACCACGGTGCACAATGGTCGCGTTGCAGACTAAGCCAGGAGATTGTGCAGATGTGTCTTTGCTGATGAGGGCATTGGTGCATGCAGCTGCCCTTGTTCAAACGGTGTTGCCAATTGGCAACAGTGGGAAGTAGTTGAAGCGGACAAAAATGAGTGGGAAGTTTCTTCAAACGATTGTTGTGCAACCGATCGGACAAAGTGTTTATCGCGAATAACCAGGACTCTTCCGAGCGGCGACCGTCCCAATGGCAGCATTTGCGAGGCGTTTGGTAGATGCAACAATTCAGTGGGACATTTCTGAGTTACTGCCACGGGGCCTTGGAATCCTGGTGCGCTTTCAAACACATGTACAATGTGCATGGGCTCGCATGGAACATGGGGATTGAGGGTTGGGATTGCTTTTCTTCACTACATACATTGAACACAATCTATGGGGATTTTCTTATTCATGCCAGTTCACCGCATTTCATGGGACAATAGGGAGTGGCGATATGGGTCCATGAATAGTCGATTCCCAACACATTATCTACTTGGTTTCCACGCCAACCATCGCCTACCAGGTGCACGGGATGTGTTTTGTCATTTTGTGACAAACATAATCCATGGATTTTGAGATCGTCCCAATGGAATAAAATCAGTAACAACCGCAACGACCATTGTTTAGGTGCGGGAGTAACGCACCATCTGAGTTGCAAGATTCGTCCAACGTATCTGAATAACTTATTCACATTGAGCACATGTGCTACTAAAATGGAAGGAGTTCAGCAGAACAGAAACCAGACTTTGGGGCTAATTTAGATCATCTTTAAAAGGTTGTAGGTTGGACTGCTTTCAAGAAAACAATGCCGACTCGTTTTTCAATGGCATCCAACCCGTGGAACGCTTGCCAACAAAGCTCAAATTGCAAGACCACAATCCATGCCAAGTAAAACAATATGCAAATTATACTTTTGTTTTGAGCCATTGTATCCACAACGACGTCGTCGAACAAACGGTCGTCATCCCCTACCCCAGCGCATCTGCATGCCATTCTCAAGACTCCCTGACTTCGTATGTATTGGCTGTACGTGCACAGGCCCATATTTACGCATTTTACGTGTTTTTACGCAACAAAATGTAAAAGCTATTTTGCGCACAAATGCGCGCAACTACAGGGCGCTTACGCCATGATAACAATCCTGGCAAGGAAATTAGCTTTGCCAAACTTCCCCTCCCAGATGGCAATTGATACATTCAACCTCACCCCTGAGTCTACAATTTACTGTTTCCTAACAAATGCCGAATTCTCTCTGTTGCTTGAGTGTCACTGTTCTGCGGCTCAACAGCTTGGTTGCCGCACATGGGACCTCCGCAGACGTGAAGGACTTCAAAGGAGGCCTTCGCCCAGGCAGTCAGGGCCAGCTTGACGTCCAGGTCGCTAGCAAAGTCCTGCGTAAAGTGTATCACACTGGGCCCCCTGCGCCACAGCAGAGTCTGGTGACCAGACACCCCGTTTACGTGTTTGCGAATGTCTCAAAAGCAGGCAACGTGCAGCAAAGTAGGCACAAGACCGTGAGATACGGTTGTTTGAGAGCCAACCTCATCCTGCGTTCATCGCGTGGAAGTCTACGGGTGTTCAGGAACGCGTGCAGTGGCGTATGGCCACCCATGGATGGAAAGGAAGCTCGGTGTTGAGTTAGATGGCACTGATCCACAACAGATCATGGCAAGGGTTATTAGATGATATATGATGATACGAGATGATGTAAGATGATACAAGATGATATAAGATGACATAAGGTACATGCCACCAAGGTGAATGCCACCCATACAGCTGGCGTTCATGCATCCTGCACCGGCGTTTCGAAACACCAGTGCTGCACACATGAAACGCCGGCCGTTTTGGCGCCATCTCTGTCTGTATACCTCGCAATGGTTTGCGCGGACCAGCACCAGACAAGTATCCATATGCCGAAGATGCGGATCCCAAGGAATGCGAGGACCTCGCAATCCCATGCAGCGGCATCTCTGGCAACATGGATATTGGCTGGAGCAATGCGCTCGTGCGGACGCCGCAGCAATATCCTGCTGCGGCAATAATAGTCATGCACACAAGACCAGGCCAGGTGGCCAGCGCTGGCGCCAAACCAATGATGGAGACCTCTCTCTGCAGTGCAGCGGAAGGGGTGTGGGTCAGTGCGTGGCCAATTTATATTTTTTTTTGGACAAAACCTGCATCAGATTTACGAGTCCACGCGCAGGCCCCGTTTGAACAAAACATATGCGGCCCTGGTGCTGACTGAGAAGAGAGCACGGAGCAATTAGCAGCCTAGTACTGATCGTAGTGAAGCGAATCCAAGGTATCAGGGACTGAAATTTTGGGATGCAGGAACGCCCTGGTACACCGGAACCCGCAAGAAGCTGATGCAAATCGAGTGAACTTTACCGTTGTTGGCAAATCACCCATCGCACATCCAATGTGTTGAAGTGATGTGTATTCTGGTGGACATGCAAACACGGGACTTTTGCATAATCCAATGCACTGCATCACTGTGACACGCAATGAATTCAATGCACATTGGGTATGAATGTGGAGTTCAAAGAGCGGCACCATACCGTTCAATGTGCTGAAGTCTTGGAAACAGAAAATGTGCCATATCCTGCGCGACTGCTTTTGCCCATCAGATTACTCGCCAGCTCGACAAAGTCCCTAGTGCGCACGTAGACATTCGCAGGGCACAGCATACGCCACAGTCGACCTAACGCAAAGTCAACTCTTCCGTGCAACTGCCAATGACGCACATCCCCCACGACGTAGGCTGGGAAGGCGTACCTGTATTCCGTGTGGATCCTGTGTTTGTTCTCCCAACGTGCCTCCCAGGTGTCTGTGGGATTCTCAACGGTGAACTGCGCCTTGCCCGTTTGCACCAGGAGTTCAACAACGGTGCCCTTGACAACAGGCACCCGGAAGGGCAGCTGGCTGCCAACAGTAATTTGCGCACAAAATCCGACGCAAAATGCATTCCCAGTCTCTTTCAGGCACTTGTGCAGTGCCTCGCTCCGCTCCTGGAGTGTGCATACAGCTAGCTATAGCCATAGCGCTATGGCGTTTTAGAATTTAGCAACAAACGGAGGATAGAATAGTTGTGAGAAGGAACACTCCTTTGCATTGGTACCGTGCTTTCCTTAATGCATGACGCGTGGAAACAATTCTTCCTTTTTCAGCCTCAGGCCATGTTGTGAACGAAACGGCAATTGAGCGAAAAATCATGAAGTGCACTAATTCTGCTTTCCATGTTCCTCGCTGCCAGTGCACAGTGATTCTGTAAACATGCGAATTGTGGTCATAGCCTGAGCAGTGGGATTTGTCTTGGACACGTGTCGCCCCAGCCTTATCAGAGCCACTGCTATACGAGCAATATGAGCAGCACAGTGTCGAACAGCATAGCTGCAGCGATCTCATTCAATCAAGTTGTTCTAAATGGACTGTTAATAGTAGAGGCAGAGCTCCACAGCGTGACAGGGGTTTGGAGAGGGCTGCAACGTTTGGCAACACTGTTGCTTTGCACTTTCTTGCACAAATGTCCAAAGCCGCAATCAGCAATTTGGCACCTAGCATTTTGGATGCCAACACTGCTTATAGTCACCTCAAACGCCAGTTTTGGGTTTACAAGTGCATTCAAAGGATTTATAATGGGAAGTACAATTGACTCCACAGGAGCCCAACATCAGGTTCTGTAGCCTCACCCCAGCCCACGCATCCGCCCTTTCAGTGGACAGCATGGTATATGTGATGGGGCGTATGTGCCTGTGTATTCATGTGATCATGTTAAGTTGCTCAGGTGGACAATACCAGCACCACTCAGGTAGGTACCATTCAGGTTGGTGCCTACTATTCATGCACCTACCTGGTACCTACCATTCAGGTAGGTAGGTTGGTTGGTAGGTGAGTACATTCAGGGTGGTAGGTTAACGACAGTGCAGATCCATGGACACAGGATAGGAGACACAGCACATTTTTACCATTGATAGCCCATGCAATCTGACAACCAAAGGAGATCTGATGCATCGCGAATGTGCGAATGTGATACACCAAGTCTTGAACAAAGGCCTTGTTGCCTCGCGATCACCATCCACCGCCAAATGTACCCTCCGCAACAACAATTGCGGCCCTGGCTCTTGGACATTGAATTTGGCGCACACTTCGGAATGAAGAAGAACAAACAGCAAAGGGGCCGTCCATTCTCCAGCCCCAACCCCTTCTGGTGGATGGCTCCCCCCACCTGCAGGTTGGCGGGCACAGCACCAAACTCCACGGCCGTGTTGCCCAGCACGCGCAACCTCCATCTGAGGACGCGAGCCTGGCTGGTCGACAGGTCGGACACCAGCATCTTCGGCCCCAGGCCCAGGAGGTTGATCTCCCTCACGGCGCCGCCGCTGGGGTCGCGGTGGAACGTGAAGCCCTCCGCCGCGCCCAGGTCAAGATGGAAGCCCACGCCTGGGCCCTCCATGCGCTGCCGTTCTTTTCACCTCCTTCCAGCGCCTTGTGCCCCTTCCAGGCAGGGAGGCTTTGAAACAACAGGCACACGCCAGTCATGGGAACAGATTCGGGATGGCGAACGTGTGTGGACTTCGACTGCCGTGGCCCAGAGGTGCGACGCCGCCAATTGCATTTGGTATCCCCAAGTGGCGATGTGGGAGAATCTGCGCACACACGGCCGCGGACGGCCCCCTGAACACCTCCAGGCGACCGACAGCCAGCCCTGCCGGGCGTGTGGCCGCGGCGATGCCGCCGACACGCGGCCGACCGCCGTCGGCGACGCCGCCGGCATCGGGCCTTGGGCCTCGCCGGAAGGGCCGTGCATCCGTGGGTGGAATCGCGGCAGCTTCCGGTCGGGTGCCGTCGAGCTGCGCGACGCGCGAGGGCCGCACCTGCGGCGCTCGCCGCCGTTCCCAGGCCGCTGTGGCAGCGCGAGGAGTGGACGGAGCCGTTCTCGCCTTCGAAAGGGATTCTGATTCACCGGGGGGACAACAGCGGAGACTTGCTGCGTTCCGCGCGGCACCAGTCCCCCGTTGACTTCACGCGTCTGTGCGGTGTGCATTTCCCGTGTGTGCTGACTGGCGCGTGTCGGTTGACTGGTTGCTGCAACGGCGTGTTGCGGAAAACTGCAGGTGCGGGGGTGCTCCTCTCAGGTCACACTTCTGCCTGGAAATTGTGCGGGGCATCTGCTTGAAGCCGTGTGTTCCCAATGGGACAGGGATAAGCCCCGCCCTCAAACGTGCGAGCACTGCCTTGATAAAGCTGCCTGGCCATCTTATTTAATGACCAGCCAAGCCCGCGGGTTCAAGCAATTGCACCACAGGTTCACTGCTAATTGAGCAGATTCACCTTCACTTTCGCTCACTTTACTGATCTGCAGTTCAGAACCAGCAGATTCCAACCCACAATGAGCATGGGTCACAATTTCAAAAAAAAACAGATGGCTCATGGCCCGATGGCCAGATGCTTGTTTGTTCCAATTGGAAGGACAGATCTTCTAGAAACTAGCAGAGCACTACTTCACGCAACAAGTAGAGAAGGACAAAGCAAACGGCACAATAGAAACAGTCCCCCATGAGCACCTGGCTCACATCCAGGTGTCGAGGGTGTCACAACTCACACCCCGGGATGCCCACCTCCCATCCCGCGGGACAGGTGACACCATCACCGGTGCCCTTTTCGCCCTCATGCATGTGGCATGAACAACCTTTCGTGCAAAATGTCGTTAGTGAGCCAATAACACAATTAGTGTGCAACATCTTGATTTCCAAGCAAATTGTAAAAACTATTGTGTTCAATATGTGCAATCGACCCATAATGCAATAAACATGTTCAGAATCAAAGAAAAACATGTTTTGAAGTTGCGCAATATTACCATTTCTACACTTGTGTAATATCCACTAACGACATTTTGCACGAAAGGGTGTTCATGGCGCTTCCCGCGTCCCGTGCACTCTAGTGACAGTCGGGCACTCACACACGCCAGTACACTTTCGACAAAGCATAGCTTGTTACATGTCCCATCCGTCTGTTCGGCAGTGCCGAATCGGCACCCAAAGTCAACGCACGCCCATGGCAAGGAAAAACGAACAAGACAACGCCGCCACCACACTAGAGGTGGCCACCCGGATCCGTTAATAGCGGACAGAGGTTAATTTCCATTAATTTTCCGTTAATTAACGGAAAATAACGAAAAAAGACAAAAATTAACCAAAAATTAACGGATTTTTGGAATTTTTGGGGATTTTTGGGTTTTAGTCATACTTATAGTTTATGGAATTCGCTATTAGAGAGTATGTTTGTATTTTATTTCAACCTATGCATACTAGATTTTCAACTAGCCGCAGTTGTTGTGATTTTTTGGGTTTTTTTTGAATTTTTTGGATTTTTTTCGGTTTTTCTGAATTTTTCTCCCTTTTTCTTTAACGAAATTTAATGGACAGCTGATAAAAATTAACGAACCGGACTTAACGGACCGGATGGCATCTTTGAGTGGCCACCTCTACACCACACACGCCCTTTTCCTTCTCGAACGGTCCAACCAATAAAACCATCAAAATAAACTTGACCTTTCACGTGTGGCTCCCCACACCCCAATACCACCCCTTGACCCTTTTGTTCACATTTTTACAATACATTGCTTTAACCCATCAAGTCACCCCGCACTCACGTGACAATCCCGGCTTGTTGGACCATCCCCCGCCCAGGGGCGCACCCCCCGGCTCCTGCCTCCCTCGCCCGCTTCACCACTCGCTTGCCGGCTGCCGCACCGGCTCAGAAATCCTCGGGCTCCTCCTTCACGGGGGGCCCCTCCCCCTCCACCCAACCCGCACTGATCGCGACGACCTCGGCGGACCATGCCGACATCCTCGCCATCGCTCCAAACTTTGCTATCATCTACCACACCACAATGCGCATCCGCCATCAGTTCGTCCTCACTCCCCACAATTGCGGTGCCATGCTCCAGCTCCTCTCACCCTGCTTCCATGCCAACAAATGCGCCCCTGTTGCCGACGACCTCAGTGCCATCCCGCGCCATCGACTCCACCCCCCTCGCCGCCCTGCTCCACCTCTCCGGTGGAATCATCGCACGTAGCATTGCATCGTCCGCAAGCGGCCAAGCCGCCCCACCACCGCACCTGGCAAGCGCAGCCTCCAGGCTGCGCATCGCCTCCCAAGCAGCCTCTACGATGCCCTCCAGCTCCGCCCAGCATGCGCACCACCCTCAAGCGGTGGGGGGGTGCCCTCGGCGTGTCCGCGGGGGTGCCTCCTACTAGTGTTGGTGCTATCCAACTGCCCATCCCTGGGCACGCCATACAGCATGCCGGCACACCCAAGGGGGTCAAGAGACATATGACCGTCTCCTGGTATGGTCGACCCCCCCGATGACCAGCACCGTGGCCTCAACCCTGCATAGGGCTGGGCACTGGCAGGCCCCCGAGAGTGGGAGCCACTCATCAGGCCTCCACTCCTCGAAGGGCTTCTGCCCGGCCACTGCCCACGCGGTGGTGAAGGGACAAAGAGCCATGGCCGGGATTACCCACTAAGCTCACCGAACACCCTATGTATTGTGAACCAAGACAAAATGCAACCATCATAAACTACAATACTTTTTCAGTGCTGCACCAAAGTACTCTGTGAGAGAAAGGTGCACCAGCTCCTTATTCATGAGTTGTGGATAGTTGCACAGATCCCTTTTTCAGGGATTAGTCATGTACTCATTGTAGTCAAGTCCCAAATATGCTTTTTCAGCCTGTTCTCCCCCAAACAAATCATGGATTTCCATTTCTGCTTCAAAAACTAATCTTGCATCCACCCACAATCTCGCAGCTCCTTTTCAGGAGCAGCACCACTTTTCAGTGGTGAACACAAACCATTTCTGTCCTTTTTCAAGGACAGCGCCACTTCTACAACGGCAAACAATTCTTAGCCACTTTTTGAGTGGCACTCACAGTTTGCACCAGTTCAGCTACGCCGAAAGGATGCACCATCTGGAAAGTAACATCAGCTCAGTGCCATGCCAGGGAAAGAAACATCTCGGCATGTCCCCTAAGGCTCCTTTGGGGAGTAGTGAAATCGCACCCTTTCCAGCCAGTTTCACATAGCCCAATACGCCAAATCCCTTTTTCAGGGACAACACGACGAGGCAAGCTGCAGAACTCTTTTTCCAGGAGTTTAGAATACTTTCCGTGTATTCTCCCAGTCTACCCTTGTCTTTTCCAACCTTGCCACTTGTTCAGCGCCCTTTTGCAATGGCCATATCATGACCAGCACCCAATCCACCCATGGGTGAAGCAGCAAGCCCAAAACTCCTTGTTCAGGAGTTTTGACCATGTTTTACATTCTGTACCCTCCTTTTACCCTGCATTTCTCAGCTCCTGTCACTTATTCAGTGACATTTCAGCACACCAGGATAAATTCAGCTTCAAGGACAACTAGAGAATGGGCCGGTTGGGCAATACACCAACACAACCCCACGCTGAGGCAAGACACTTCCCATCATGTTTCTTGGGGCACAAAAGCCTGATCAACACGGCCCAAAACATAGTTCTGTGGCCGTTAAATCAGAATCTACCCATAGCTGGAAAGAGGCATCATCATACGGGACCGAATCTGGACCAAAATGATGTGATGAAACGGCTAGCAACACGGCTAGCACGCCTGTTTTCTCCACAGCCTTATTTCAGCCATGGGTGACTGATGAACGAACGAACACATGCAACCTTGGCATGGGGTAGTCCACCCTGGAAAGAGCCACCAGGTGTGGGCCCAAGCTTTCGGTTGTGCATGGTTCCTTTCAGCATTTTTCAAGGCCAGAACCCTCTCAGCCAAGAGCGAGTGGCTTTGAGGATAGACACACGCTCAAACTGGGCAGTATCCTTATTAAGGATGCACGGCCCCACCAGAAATTGAGAGCCGTGGGCAATACTGGTGAGGCAGCTTTCGTTGAAAACTCTTGCTGCACAAGATTTCGCTCAGTCGTCACCAAGCTTCCCTTGAGGTAAAAACTCCTCTCAATCTTCACCGCCAGCTTGCTATACTACTAAAAACGCAAGCGCTTGACCAGTTTTTGTTTTTGTTTTTGCTTTTGTTTTTTGTTTTTCTAGCCGGTGGTGGCATACCCGGGCCATCCCATACAGTCAGAATGCGCGTCAGACGTGAGTCCCTCGACAGCTGAGTCATAAGTGACCCACCCAGTGAAACGGTGGTCATTATGCAGCTGCGCAAACAGCCTCTTGAAGGAAAGGCCGTTGATGCAATTCAAACGGTCCTCTTTGGAGTGCACACAGGAAGCGCAAATCTGCGATCGCCGATGCTTCAACGGGTTGGCACACGGCCAGACTCAAGCCCACACCACACACAAAACGCCCAGGGCTTACATATTTGTTCACCCTTCCCACAACGAAGAGCCTTGCAGACGGTGGCAACGACCCCCACAACCGAACAGTTCGAATCTCCTTGCACCCAAAGAATTTCCTTTTCACGTGACAAGGATCATCATCCATCACCAACCAGCCATACCGCACTTCAGAGATGCCCACTCATCATATCCCACAATACAACCCACTCTGTAACACATATTCCAAAGGCGCCCATACACTCAATGGCAAAGTAGACATATTTCAGCTGCGAGCGCGACCCCAGCATAACATTTGTCTCTGAATCGGATGGCATCTCCCACAACAATCAAATTGATGCTCACAAAAGTCCCATCACAGGAGAAATAATTCTGTGAATTCTAGAGCACAATTTTCTTTCCTCTATAGATTCAGAATGCCTTGCATATAAACCATATTCCTAAAGTGCATACAAGTCGCACACCATAATGCACAAGTGATCCACCCAGTGAAAAGAGGATCGACTAATTAATCCACTGCTGTCAATTACAATGGTGGAGGCGCCGACCCATCAGCCCCTGCGCGGGGTGAGAGGAGCCACACATGGCGGGATGGCCCTGGCACAACGTTGTTGAGACGTGCTGATGCCGGACGCCTGCAACCGCAGCAGCGGCGGACCCCCTCCTGGCGAGCAGCAAAGGGCCGCGCTGCTTTCAGAGCTTGGAAAATGCTGATTGAGTCTGGAAGCGATAGGCGCTCGCTGCATTGTTTTGAATACACGCGCACCGAAGGTGAGGCTGCCCGCAATCGCGATGCGGCGATTTTGCATCTTTGCAAAAGAATCGAATATATGGTGGCAGCCGACGCGCTGTTTGGATTCGCGAATTATGCCAGCAGGCTGGAGACCAGAGGTTGCCGTTCGTTACCGTGGCGCGCTGGCCTCCCACAGTTGGCCCTCTTGGCTCTGCCATGGCGCAAGGCGTTGCATTCGGTGCGGCATTCCGCGCAGTTGGCGAGGCTGAGTGCCTACATCCATTCCCGCCCGGTGCATTTTGAAACAAGTGGAAGCTCGTCCGCGACGCCGTCGTCGGCGGTACCCATGGTGAGGATTCAGTTCCGACTCCCAGACCGCGGTGTTGATTGTCGCCGGCATCAGGCATCCTCTGCATGCACCATGTCGTGCCAGGTTTTGCCTTCAGCGCGTTATTCATGCCAACTGGGGGGGTGGGGGGTGGGGGGGGGGTGGGTACGTGACTGACCCAGCCCCACCAGAAACTTGGCAGAGCTCGGGTCAGTTTGCCAGTCATTGCCAGTAGAACGTACGCCGGTGGTGGTAGGACCGATGCTGGCGGCTATTGGGGCAACATTCATCCGATTAGGGCAAGGTTCAACTGTTTAGGGCAAGGTTTTGATTGTGTGCCTGCACGCCTTTCAACTGTGATAGTGTTATAACCGGCGCCTTGTGTGTTCCCAAAGCGCGAAAACAGCAGGGAATGGCGTGGCTGGTGTCCTCATGCACCAGGATTGCACAACACGCCTTCGCGCAGGCCTCTGCAGCATGCCTTTGCAATCTTGCTGGATCCCACATACCATTTCCCTTCTCAATTGATACCCAACATCGCCTTGCACGGTCAAGGGCTTTCGTTTGCCGCATTCGGACAAATGCAGCCAAAGGGTTCATCCACCACTTCAGGGCGATGCAGTGCTAGCAAAGCAGGAATTGAGCATAGGCGCAGCAAATTGTTCCTGACCCCACAGGCAGGTCGAGGCTGGGTAAGGGCAGCCCCGAATCGTTACAACGGACACAGCGCGAAATGGGCCACTGGGACGCGTCCCATGCGCAGCTGGCCGCACCTGGACCCCAACAAATACACAGTCCCTGTCCCTCAAGTCTCCACGACAGCCAACAAACAACGGAAAAGCCCGCAAAACAAGGTTCCCTCCTCTTCATTCCCTCCCTTCTTCTTTCCTCTGTTTATCTTTTGATGTAATACATTGGAATTGAAAAGTTCCCTCCTGTATCACTCTACCCCACTCCACCCACCCACCCATCCCACCCCAACCCCCCAAAGCACACAGACGCATCCTGTGTCCCAAAACTCTTGTGCTGGTGGAATCAGCACACAACTGTCGCCACGTCTTGAATTTCGCAGTTCCGCATGCGATGCTTCAAAAAGTCGGGTGCTGGCAAAATCAGCACGTGACCATCTCGGTGTCTTGAGCGTCGCTGGCCTGCGGCTCGGCAGGCTGGCTGAGTGACACGGTGCCCCTGCAAACGTGCAGCACGTGGAACATGGCCTTTGCCCAGGCAGTCAGTGCCAGTTTTACATCCAGGTCGTCCTCAAAGTACTGTGTGAAGCTGATCTCGCCAGGGCCCCTGCATGGTGCCATTAAATTCGTTAATCGCCACTCGCACCAGAACGCACACCCAACGCACCATGCCTACTGTGCAGACGCCTTTGGCGTCTAGTCACCACATGTGGCCCACAGGCGAGGCTATGCAAGTGTGTTCACCTGTGTGATCACCCATCACATGTGCAACATCGAACTATTTCGGAGAGTGAACATACTACAATTGCATCACAGGAAGGTATTTAGCACATAATTTTCAGTGCAAAAGTACATACACATAATAGTAAGAGCCAGGTACAATGTATTTGCAGTAGGCACACCTCTGTGAAGCAGGGTCGTCCTGAAACTTCATTATATGTAACCTATTTGGAAGCGTGCGAATGCACAAGGAAACATATGCTATGGTGTATAATCAGCCACAGACGGTGAGGAAGCCCGTAGAGCTACCAGGACGACGGCATTGATGGTACACCTTCCACAAAATGTCATATTATGCCCACCACAGTTTTCTAGTGGTGCACAAAAGCTCTTCTTGCTTCGGGTGACAGTATTGCTACACAGTCCATCAACAGCAGTCCCTGTCCACAAGCCTTCCTTTCTGTGTGCGGAAACTGCAATGACATTTCTGCTATGCCATTAACAGGCATGAGCACTGTGCCTGGCCAATGAAGAAACACGATGACCAGTCTGTGCAGCAAAGGGTGGGGGTGGGGGGTGGAGGTGTGCACCCATTTTTTGCTGTCCATTACATGACACACTCTCAGCATTGTCCAAAACAAAGACACAGCAAAGTCGACATGGTGCAGCACACTTTGTAGTCCAAACAAAACAGCACATTGTCTCTGCAAATGTCCTCCAAGGTCCATCATCAACATAATCGGTCGCAGGGTCGCACCTATATTCTGTGTGGACCCTGTGGTTGTTTTCCCAGTGCGTATTCGATGCATCTGCTGGATTCTTCACGATGAACTGCGCCTTGCCTGGCCGCACAAGCACATCGACGGTGGTGCCCTTGACCACTGGTACGCGAAAGGGAAGCTGGCTGCCAACAGTCACTTGCGAGCAGAACCCGATACAGAAGGCGTTCCCAGTCTCTGTCAGGCACTTGTGCAACGCTTTCCTTCGTTTCTGGTGTGCCAAGACAGCCGCGGCTTTTCAGAATTCGAGTTTGACCCAAAGAAAACACATGAGAGCAGAAAGCAGTCACATGTCCTGATGTGATCAATTCGCTTTTCTCTGAAGTGTACAGACAATTGCACCAGTTCACAAGTTTGCGCAAGTTGTGGACCAAGCAACAGGTGCGGGTAACAAGATATGGAGGCGCTCCCACGAAGCTCGAATCGACTGCCCATGTTCTCCTTTTGTAACACACACTGGTTCCATAAATGTGTAAAAGTTGGCCATCGTTTGTCCTGGTTAGGGCTGCTTGTGCCATTGTAGCAACCCACACCTGAACGAGCAGCTGCTGCACACATCAGTGAAGAGGATGATTGCAGCAATTCCGAGTGCCCGGAGAAGTTGTGACTGTTGCAGGCACTCGCTGGGCTTAATTCACACATGTGTACACAGGTGCACACCTCCAGCAGCTACAGGCGCACCATCTGCCGTCGCTAAGTACGATGTTCAACAGACTTCAAGAAGGAAACGCTGTTGTATGTGCCGATGACCATCGTCAACGTGCAGAAAAAATTGTGGCAATTTGGGACATACGGAACATTTGAGCACAATCGACCAATTGCAGTGCCTGGTTCTGCATTTCAAAGTCTTGACAGCCAGCGTGATGGCGTTGCATGCGATTACTGCTGCATTGTTCCTTCTGCAACGCTTTCTGAAGCACGAAGCCAAGTCTTATGAAATTGGCTGCTGAGTAGGATGTTGTCCATCGTACGAGAGGAGCAATATCCAGGGGGTGAGATTTTAGGCCCTGAACACATTTGCAGATGTGCTGGCCCAGAACAGACAGGGCACTCTCCAGCACTTACAATCTGGCAATCAGACAAACAGCTGTATAACTCCAGCTACAGTGTTTTCCAAACGTTTTTCAGAAACTGAGCTGTCACCAATGCCTTGGTATTACAATACCAAGACGTAGTGCCCATCACAGCAAGCAAGTGTTTGGCAACAATAACAAAGATGATGCAAATGCACTAGTCCCACTCAAATCCGCCGTGTGGCTCCCCACCTGCAGGTGGCTGGGCACCGCTCCGAACTCCACAGCTGTGTTGCCAAGCACACGCAGCTTCCACCTAAGGACGCGCTTCTCGCTTGTCGACAGGTCAGACACCAGCATCTTTGGGCCCAGACCCATGAGCTTGACCACCTTCACTGCACTGCCACTCCGATCGCAGTTGAATGTGAAGCCCTCTGCCATGCCCAGGTCATATTGGAACCCCACACCTGACTCCTCCAAGTACAGCCGCTCCTTCCACGAAGGGTAACTGGAACCAACAGCCACATTACAATCAAGGGAAGGACACCAAGACAGTGATCAACAGGCATGTGACAGTGGCACAACACTTCATTGTGTTTATGTTCCAAGCAATCTGACTGCCATTGGAAACAACAACCCAAAGCCAACTTTGGCAGCCACGCCAGTGTCCAGCAACACCCCACAGCACCGAGACGGCAAATGGAACAAACAAGATGGAGGTCTAGTTGTTTCCACATTTGAAAACCATGCACCTCTCAACAGCCCTCAGCTACCACCACAATTGCCCTAACGTATGTCGGCGTGATAAGCTACTGATAGGACCAACGCAGCACGGTGGTAAAACCCAGCAAGGTGGTTTCAGTACCATGTGGGTCTCTCATCCTAGGGTTCTTGGTTGCAGGCCTGCGGTGTCTTTTGTTCCTCATCCAACAAGTCATGACTGCTCAGCGGTGCCATCAGCACGGAGCAGACACAAGAGATGGCCCAGATTCGCATACATCCAAAGCCAGATGCCACACCCAGACCTTCCAGGCAGGCTCTCAGAAAACATCCACAACACAACCACGCACCCCAACCCCAACCACCAAGCCTGCGCCCCATCCCTATCAAAGACAATCGTTTCACAGCATGGAAGTGAGCCTCACACATGTTTGCTCAGGAGGGGCAGCCCTTTGCAGAACCTGCCTTCCTCTCCACGTGTCACACACCTCAACCCAATGTCCGCACCCGTCCCCCGGCATCTCTGTACCATCCTTTCACTGCATGGAAAAGAGTCTTGCGCACACCGGCTTAGGAGAGGGTGCCCTGTGTATGACCTGTTTCTACCTCTCTTTGTAACAAATTCCACCCACCCACCCGTCCCCGCTCGCTCACTCATCCTCACCTCCAACACCCGTACAGATCCGCCCCTACGCGCTTGCGCAGCGCGTCCCGGGCCGCCAGCTCCGTCAGCCGCAGGCCCGCCACGGGGTGGCGGCCGTGGAACGCGCGCGCCGCCAGCTCCAGCCTCGCCAGGCTGATCGCCTCCAGCCTGCCCATCACCGCCATCAGCACCTCCAGCGGCAGCTTCAGCAGCGCGAATGCTTCCCCCCGCCCCGGCGCACTGCATCCCGGCCCTCTCCCCGCCTCGACATCACAATCTCCCTCCCCGCCCGCGCATGCGCTGTCCGCGGTGTCCATCATCTCCACCCTGTGGCGCTTGGCGCCGTCCTGGCTCGTCCTCCAGGCGCTGCCGTCCGCGGGGCAGCCCTCGCGCGGAGCGCCGGAGCGCTGTGCGACGGGGATGCCGATCGGGCCGACGGGCGGCGGTTACGGTCTGTCGGCCCACCCGGGGATCGCATGGGGCGGCCCGGGCAACGGGCCGGCGCCTTCCTGGCCGGGCGGGATCCCGGATGCCCACTGCCCGCTCCTCGACGCCGCGCCCTCGGCAATGCGCCCAGCAGCCCAGGCAGGCTGCGCTGCGGAGCCTCCGGCGATCAAAAGGGTGATTGGGAAGGGGCGAGTGGCCCGAGTGCCCCGTGGGTAAGTTCAACACGTGCTAGCAGGCGCGAGGAGTGGGAGGGACAGGGCTCCTGCACATTGCTGTGGATGGGGGGGGGGGAGCACTTGACGTGGGAAGGCAGCGGCCAGCGTGGGGCGCACGAGGTTCAAGGGCGGTGAATGGAACCAGTTAGTCATGCAGTGCCCGGGCCCCTCCCGGGCGTCTGATAGTGACATTTACCTAACAAGTTGCGGCAAAAGGAACGCCAGAATGATCTGAGTGTATCTTAACAAATGACCTTCTATCCTTAAATTATCTTAAGCCATCTCGCTTTCTCGCGTTAAGCGGGCTACGTCCTACTCTTTCCCATCCTTCCCTCCGTTTTCTGTCTGTCTCGATCACGGGTTTCGCCCACTCACGCCCTAACGGTTTGCCAAGTGCCCTGGTCCGGTGGCGGGCCTCAGGACCCGCCCCCGTCCGGGACGGATAGGGGCACATGCCTCGCTTTTCAAGCGTCAACAGCCCTTCGGCATTTCCTAATGGCTGCGGTTTCTGTCTTGGCGCCGTACTTTGGCGCCTAACCCGCATGCCATTGAGCTGCCATTGTCCTCCCCGAGGAGGCGAAATGGCCGTTTCCAGGCATACCCAAACATTCTGCCCAATTGTGGGCTGCAAAGGCAACGCCGTATGCGGACTGGCTGGGTGTGGCGAATGTCTTGTTGGAAGTGCGGGATACTCAGATTGTGGTCTTAGGGGAGCCGATTTTGGTGAACCATGTGGAGGAATGGACGGTTCACGGGATGAGCGAGCAATACCGGACAGCGCGTGACGCCCATAGAGCTCGAGTGATGCGTATTGCAGATAAGAGGTTACCGCAATGGAAGCAGCGGGTTGAACAGGAGTTTGTGAATTGGTGGGCTCGGCGATCTAAGGACTGGCAAGCAGGGCCGCCGCAGCCAGAGGACGTGATAACTTTCCTTGAGTGGTTTGTCCAGACTCGCCGAGGACGGGCCCGGACCCACACAAAGAGTGGAGAAAAAGATGTGCACTTCAACACGTTGGAAAAGGAGGTCAGCCACCTAAGTGGCTGGTTTCGCCGGAATGGGCGTGAAGCCGGAAACCCATGCCGGTCGGATTGTGTCCGCGCCTGAAAGAAAACCTACCGCGCCTCGCAACAAGTGCAAGGGGTAGGTGAGAGTAGTGCTGAGCCATTACGAGTGGAGTGGTATCAGAGCATGCTCGAGGCGTGCCGTCGCGAGGTCGAGCAGGGGGAAGATCCGCTGTGTATAGGCCGAGTGGCGCGGGATGCACTGCTACTCACTTTCCTATTGGGAACTGGGCAACGAGTGAGGCCGCAGTTGGGGTCTTATACTCGAGACATGATAGTGGACGAGTGGGGCCGGCCCATCTGGTCGCCCGAAACTGGCAGGCGCCCTGTCGAAGGGCCAATTATGCTGGACATCTAGACTTTAAAGACCACGACGGAGTTCCGGCCGGGGCGAGTCGAGATTAAGGAGCACCGAGACCTTGGTTTCCTATATTGGTTTCACTTCATGGGAGACTGGCTCCTGCGACATGAACGAGGTAATGTTTAGATACTACTGCCAACCTGGGATCACTGCATTGGGCCTCTTAACCAATCTGTAGATGCTATGGAGGCTACTTGTGACGTGGCTGCTTGGGGTTTAGGCTTATTTGACATTTCTGGAGTGGGAATTATGTAATTGGCTAAATGTACCTTTTGGGGACGTTATTGAGAGCTTCTTGGTTCCAACGAGCTTTTAAACGCCCGATTCCGTTAAGAAACGGCGAAGATATGGCCTCTTGAAGTCGTAGTACTTAGGGCCAGGGGGTCGGGTGTTAGACGCTTGGAATTAGAGGACAATGGGTCAATCGTAGGTGAACGGTGGACGGTGACGATGTGCCTGGACGCGCACTTGTCTTGTTTTGTCTTGTCATGATATGACCGCGATGGACCCGCGATCGGGCATCGCGCATGCGATATGTGCGCGCGCATGCTGTGAATCCATGTAACCATTCTGGCCCACTCTCTGGCCTCCCGCGAGCCAGCGAACCACCGCCTCGCTGCGCCGCCACCTCTCGCCGACAGCAGGCCCCGGGGATCGATCCCCGTTGAGCATTGGGCCCACCGCGTGACCACAGGAGCGACTGCCCCGGATACGCCCACCGTCCAAGGTGGAGAGGGCCGGCTGACCTCCAACAGCCGAGCTGCAGGGCAGGGCGACCCCAACGCCTCCGGAAACCAGCGGCTACCGACGGGGCCGCAACACTACTCGTATTATGTGCTATTTGGCTCATCAGATACACGCTCCAACGACTCTGACTTATTACAATAGCAAACGAGGGAGTTTGCAGCATTAACATCATAACCTGGGGATGTCGATGGCTAAAGTAGCCAGCCAGACGCTTTTGCGGTCTATGGATATGGTGGAGAGATATGTCGATCGAGGGCGGCATTGGCACTGATAGGTGCAGTCAGACCGAAGGGCTAGGGCTAGAACTACCGCCTATGAATGCGCGTCGGATGCATGTCCGGGCCCATGGCGTGTTTGGGGAGGGCCGCCGCCGAAGCTGGAAGCACGGCTGGCGGCGTTAGATAGGCAATGAGACAAACAGATGGAAGAGCCAGAGTAATCCAAAGTGTGTTTAATGCTCAGGCTCCATTACAAACATGCATACCCATGGGTACCAACCCGAAGGCTTCGGCAATCTAGATGCCTATGCTCCTCAAGTGAACCAAGAACCAATCTCTACCCCATGCCAGATGATGGTACGGGGCATTACCAGTGGCCCGCGGAGCCCACGCAATGCTACGATCAAGGGCTCCTACGCAGGGTACGCAGTAGGCAACACCACAATGGCGGAGGACCAATGGGTGGTTAGCCTCTGCAATGCACGGCCGGCTAGGCAGGGTGGGGGGTTGACCCATGCATAGCCGTTCTCCTGTAACCAGTCATGCGAGAAAGCATCTACCCCGGCAGAGGTGCCATCGTAGAAACGAGAAAAATACCGCAGGCAGACTGCCGTCGAGGCAGTAGCAAACGCATCGAGCGTGATTGTAGCCCTGTCCATGCCTAACTGGCGGCAGATCCATTGGACCGCCGTGGGTGTGAAGCCCCAATCATGAGGATCCTCAGGCTTACTAAAAAGTCCACCTGCGCCTGCCAGGGATCTTCCGTGTTCGACCAAACCAGCTCTAGTTCCACATCGTTCTCCCATGCAAGCAGGTGAACTACTCGAACTATGGGAAGGCAGTCATTGACACCGCGCTGACGAGCTATGCAGTAAGTGCTAGCTTGGCTGTCGGTATGGTATAAAAGGCGATGGGCCTTCACCATACCAGGGGCACAAGTCAAGAGTGTGCGCAAAACGGTCTGTACTGCAAATAATTCTCTGGCCATGGAGCTGGCACCGAGGAGATGCTACGGGAGGGGAACTTGAAGCGGATAGGGGAGGGCCCCATGTGGAAAGAACGCCCCCACGTGCGTGTCCGAGGCGTCGCCTACCACTACGGTCATCTCACGAGCAGTAGGCCAGCATCTGCCCTCCACTTTATAGAAGTTATCTCGCCACCACTCGAGTTCCTCGCGCACCGTTTGAGGTGTCGGGAAGATGTCGTCCCAGGATTTTACTCCGACCAGGGCGAAAATGATACGGTTGCTTCTGTAGATGAGTTAGATATATTTGATTACCCTAAATGGGTCTGAGTTGGGTAAACTGGCCCTGGGGTGGTTACAAAGGACATAGGACAATGAACAGAGCAATTAAAAAACAATCTTGTATAATGTACAAATGTAGTAACCGCCCGGGGATTCCGACTCCCCGTTTCATCCGACCTGTGCGCCCGCGGGAGCAACGAAGCTCCTGCATCATTGGTTTTGGAGCGCGGAGCGTTCGAGCGGCGAGAACACACCGGCCGATGGCCGGAATGGCGAGTGGGGATCCCCGCCAGGAGTCTGGGAATCCGGGGGACCAATCGGCCGGGCAATTGGTGCCCTATCGAGGCGGGCCGACCCCCATGGAACTGAATGGAAACGGCGGAGGAGTGACGGTCGCGCAGCACGGCGAAAGTGAGGATCGGCCGGAGCAGCTATTGCTGCGCCAAGTGGGGGCTGTGGCCGCGGCTGCTGCGAGGAGAGCGACCCTTTTTGCGGTCGCAGAATGGAGCCATTCGGCCGGGCAGCAGCAGAATGCCGCTCTCCGCGGCATGGGCGAGTCGCTCGGGCGGCAGCTCGTGGTTGCCGCGAATCAATCGACCGCGCAGCAGCTGCAGCAAGGCCGCGAGCTGCGCGCCTTGCAGGAAGGTGTGCATGGTAGAATGGCCACGCAAGAAGGGGCCATTTCGGTGATCGGCGCCGGGCTGGAAGGTGTGAGGCAAAGAGCTGAAATGCAAGCGAATGAGCTCGGGAGATTGCAAGCTGCTGTTCGAGGAGATTGGCTTCGAGCGGAAGAGTGGATCGGCACGGAGATGGACCGTAGAATGGAGCAGATGG